GGGGAGGGGAGGAGGAGTAGTGGTGATGGTGGTGGGTGTGGATGTGGGTGTGGGAGTGGATTGTGAATGAAGAAGTTAGCAGTTTTAGTGGTACGGAGCACTGTTAACCAGAGGTTAACCAAAGGTCCACGGTTGACCAGAGAGTTTCCCAGTGGTTTGTTGGGTCAACCAGGCACATGTCAGTCTTAACCCAGATGGGACTGACCAGTTAGTTCAGTTTGAAGTACGGAGTACGGTGGCCCAAGCGGACAACTTCCGTCACCGGCACCTGGAGCTGGTGTTGCCTCTACTTACTTGGCTCTCCTCCGTTGACCTACAAATCACACCTTCGACCTCCGGTCCACGGCAAGACCTCTCAGTGTATTCATTCGAGCTCACTCTACGATCCCCCTTTCGCTCATACTCAACTGGAATACGGTCTTCTTCCCGCAAGTCCTTACCTTACTCCGATCGCCTCCAAGCCACCCACCCTGTTACTTGTCACCTTCCGTCGATTCCCCCAACCTTGCGGTGTCTCGCATCAGTGCACCATGGCGGACAGCGAGTTCTCTCCTAAGTTCGCTCCATTCTTCTCCTTTGTAAGTCGCTGTAAATCTTGAATCGACTCCTACGACACGGCATACTTGCTGTGGCCTGCCCTGGCTGCTCCGGATACCTCCATGGTCATTCATAGCTAATGACATACACTTACAGGCAGGAATTGCATCGGCTGTGAGTATCGCGTGAACAATGCCCGTGACCTGTGACCGCCCACTAATGACCATTGTGACAAAGATGATCTTCGGATGTATGTGACCTTGGGTTTTCACCGGAATGGATCGACTGGGGCCGGCGCATTGACTTACTTGATTACAGCATTGGGAGCAGCATATGGAACAGCCAAATCTGGAATCGGTATCGCCGGTGTGGGAACCTTCCGTCCTGATTTGATTATGAAGGCATGGAGAACCCCATCTACGGTTCCAGGATGAGCAGTCGAGCTGACCAATGCAGTCTTTGATCCCCGTCGTCATGTCCGGTATCATCGCCGTCTATGGCCTCGTCATCGCCGTCCTTATCGCCGGTGATATGGACCCTCCCCCGACCCGGAACATGAGTCTCTACACGTATGCTCGGCCTGCAAGCAAATACTCTCAGAACGACAAACTGACGGCTATATAGTGGATTCATGCACTTGGCTTCTGGATTATCGGTTGGCCTCGCAGGCGTGGCTGCCGGATACACTATTGGAATTGTGGGAGATGCGGTAAGCGGCAGCCGAAGACTTGTGTCTTACCTCGTGCAGCTACTGATAACTCTGGAAGGGCGTGCGTGCGTACATGCAACAATCGAGGGTTTATGTCGGCATGATTCTGATCCTCATTTTCGGCGAGGTTCTTGGTCTTTATGGGTAGGTTTTGGTGCAAGGACCGATGGGAGAAGTAGACAGTACGCTGACGGTGATAGGTTGATTGTTGGTCTTATCCTCAACTCGAAGAGCTCCGGTTAGAGGAGTTCGGCTGGTCGTGATCCCATTTCTCTTTCCGCACTTGTTGACCGTTTTCGCTCGGGTCAACTCCCTCCAACCCTAACTACGCCTCGTGAACTCGAGTAGGACGCACTCTGGGCGGGCTTACCAGACCGAAGCCTGAATCCGAATGCGTTAGACTTCACATGCACCCATGATATTCATAGTCAGTGGTGGCCTCAGATGGTGGTGGCCAGGGGAGTGTGCGGCTTTGATGTACTAGTACTTGGTTTAGATGTCTAAACAGCAAGCATGCAATCCTCAAGATTATTTCTAGTCGACTGATTTAACGGGTTTATTAACAATAAATTAGCATCATGAGTACCTAGTAGTATGAGGATGATAGTGGTGGTGAGGTGGTGAGGTGGTGATGTCGAATTGCCCCGCCTGGCGGTAACGTCAGAGGCCTCTCTCTGTTGCCGTAGTAGTTAGATTACTTAGTGCTGCCGCATGGCTTCCCTCACCCAAAGAAGAAAGAAAGCAGAAAAGCTCCCCGCCAAAACTTACTCTTTCTTCTTCTACTTACGTCTTCCCGCGCTGCGCCCGCTGCTCCAATCGATAATCCCACGGGGCAAATTCCATCATCTTCTCCCCTCCCACTCCAATTTGCCTTTGTCGGTCGCTTATAGAAGGAGGACTGCAGCTGAACTAGCTCTTCCAATTTCAATTGCTGCCCCTCTTATCTCACTATCTATCTATCTCACTTACTCCCCGCGGCCATCCGCGATATGAAACTCTTGCCCTGCTCATGGCTGCAGGATTAGTCGACCCCTCACATCCTAACGAATTCCAAAGCGCATCTCCCCCTTTCCTCCGACCCGAAATGGCATCCGACGACATTCATCAAAGGGAAAAGGACGTGGTGTCCTCGGTGCGACCGCCCCATCAGAGACGCTTGAGTCCCTTTGTTATCTCAGGCCGCCCGGAGGAGAAACAATTAGGCATCTCGACTCGTCGGCTGAATGTCAATGACTTCACGCTGCTGAAGACACTCGGTACCGGTAAGCTAAGCTTCATCGCTTGCGCGGCCTAACCGGTGTCTGACGGTGGCGGTGTCTTTGTCTTTAGGTACCTTTGCTCGTGTATGGCTCGTGCAGTTGAAGGAAGAGCAGCACCGAAAGGATAAAGTCTACGCGCTCAAAATGCTCAGGAAAGCGGACGGTAATATTCCCTTCTGATGTCTCGAATCGTATCAATTTTGGAAGCTGATATTCACGTCTCTTGCCCTCTACAGTCATAAAGCTGAAACAAGTTGAGCATGTGCGCAACGAACGGAAGACTCTGGCGGACGTTTCCGGACATCCATTCGTAACCACATTAATAGCATCTTTCTCCGATGACCAACACCTCTACATGCTGGTATGGCTGCTTACCCATGATACCTACACCCTCGAGTCTCAATTTGGACCTTTGAGATCTTGCGGAATGTGTTTCTCATGCTATGGTGATCTCTGACAACATCATAGTTGGACTATTGCCCCGGAGGTGAAATTTTCAGTTACCTCAGGCGCGCACGTCGTTTCAACGAAAACACGTCCAAGTTCTACGCCGCTGAGATTGCATTGACGATCGAGTTTCTTCATGACGTCGAGGGTGTCGTCTATCGCGATCTGAAGCCTGAGAACATCCTTCTGGACGCGGATGGACACATCAAACTGGTTGACTTCGGCTTTGCAAAGCAAATCGCAGACCGCGAGACCTACACGCTGTGTGGCACGCCAGAATATCTTGCACCCGAAGTTATTCACAATAGCGGGCATGGTCTTGCGGTAGATTGGTGGGCTCTGGGGATTCTCATATATGAGTTCCTAGTAGGACAGCCTCCCTTCTGGGATCAAAACCCAATGCGCATCTACGAGCAGATTGTCGAGGGCCGCATTCGATACCCTCCAAATATGTCGCCCGCTGCGCAGAATATTATCTCCCTTCTTTGCAAGACTAATCCGACGGAGCGGTTAGGATACATCTCCGGGGGCTCTGCTCGAGTGAAAGCGCATCCTTTCTTTGAGAACATCAATTGGGACGACTTATGGTACCGTCGTATTAAGGGACCTATAATCCCACGAGTCGACCATCCTGCTGACACGGGCAATTTCGAGGAATATCCTGATCCGGACGAGCGGAACCAGACGCCTTATTCTGACGACATGAGGAACAAATATGAACCGCTGTTCGCTGATTTTTGAAGGATACCACAGTCTGAACCAGCTCTATTCGTGTGAACCAGATCAGCTTTGACCTGCACCGCCATCCCTGAATTGGTGCTTTTTGTGTTTCAGCACACACCTAGGCCACCCAGGTCTGCAGCCTCACTCCTTCGGCTTCTGTGCCCCATATGCCATAAACATGGCAATCAAAATAATGCCCCGGGTGCCAAGTCCGGACCACTTGGTGCTCCAGACGGGGTCCAGTCTTGCTCCATGCACCCTGTTCTCATCCTACTAGATGAGTATGATCTTGGCAGCCCAACGCATCGCAATTACAATCGCAGCCCTTGCCTCTGCATTAAACCCTCATGACATGCCTTGGGACTTTCGCAATCATCGATCATCTTTCGAGGTTCTAACTTGACCAGAACCATGAATAACGGCGCAGCGCATGGAGAGACTTTGTTGCGTTTTCGTTTCAGCAAATAATTTAGACCAGGCGCAAGGATCAAATTGGTTGAAGCCTATGTCTGAAGCTGATACTCGACGATGCATGGTGCTCGACCTTTTGTTCTCTTTCTTACGTTTCCATCTGTACGACCGTTTCTCTATTCTGTCAACCTCAAGCTCCAAAACTGCGGACCCAGCGCCGGGAATCCTCTCCTCACGTTGACCACAATTTCCAGTCGTACCCATCCGAAATGAGCAAGATGCCTCTTAGGCTCAGCCGCGACGCCTGCGAAACTTCCACCTTGACAAACATGTCTCCATTCTCCGCTTGATAATGATATGATGCGACCCACGAGGCTACGCTTTTGATCTCCGCCCCCACCTCACCCAATCTCCCTTCCTTACTCACGCATGTGTCATGACTTGAGATCATTTGAAAATGTTTGTTTTTGGATAAATATAATTATATAAACGCCATATCGCGTATAATGAAATGAACCCAAAACCGAGGAGAATGGCAGACGGGCGCCAATGTTTGATGAATCAACGATGTATATGCAAACTCTTTGTTGTGAATGTGACTCAATTCAGGCCACTTGATCTGGCTCACCCGTCTACGTTCATCTCCATAAGCTCTTACCGTGGCATACAGCAAACTTGAACTATAGTTCGACTAGCACAATGCAATCCAATTCAATTCAAGTCGCACTTGAAGCAAACAACAAACCACTGATATAGCACCTCAACCTTACACAAAAAAACGAGTCCATCAACTTGCGTTGGTGCGCACCCAAGAGACATGTTAGACCGAAATGATAAAAACATCGGATTCAGACAAGCCAATATACGCAAACCCCTAACTACATACACCATGCAACAGGTAAAAACCAAATATTCCAGTTTGATCCAGCAAACAAAACCAAAACAAGAACAACCCAACAAGTGATAGACGAACATGACAATTCCCCCAAAAATTCCCCAAGCTTCAAACCCCGTTACTGGCACAAGTCCATACGGAGTTATTGCTGTCTCTGCTGATCGCGTCGCCGGAGACGTAGAGGCCTAGGCCGCACTGTGATGGATTTACGTCGTGTTAGGGACTGTTGACGTGCGGTTTGAACAGCAAGAAAAGGGCGGCGGGGGTGGGGGGGGGCAGGCAAAGCAGGCAACGTACCGTCGCGAAAGCGATCCCCAAGATGCAGAGGTTGATCACGCTGAGGAAGGTTTTCCAGGGCGAGGAGAACCAGTGGCCTTTGTTGAGAACGAAGTAGAAGATCGCTGGGAATCCGACTGTGGGTTTGTTGCGGGTCATGTTAGGGATATGCTGCGTGGGTTTGGATGGGTGGTCGAGGGCTGGGGGGTAGGGGATATGGACTTACAGGCGAACCAGCAGCCGAGGAGGGCGGTCTAGAGTAGGATAGGACAGATGATGATTAGTTGGGGGGTGGAAAAGTATCAGAGAGGCGGGTGATGCATACGATGAAACTCAACAGGTCGTTGAAGATCGGGATCGACTCGGCAATGACCCATGAGACCACCCAGAGGATGAGGGCGATGGCCACCCAGGATCCCTTGGACAGCAGCGTCGTCTCGTGCATGTGGTTCGTGCCCCGGAAGAGGCGGACATACACGTATTTCGCGGCGACGTGGCCGTTGACGATGCCGGCGATTAGGATCTGCAAGAAGAGGGGGCTCGATGTTAGCGGTTTGAAGCTTTGTTGTCGGGGTGGAGATTCGTGCGATAGTGAGGAGGACTGACGGTTGGGAGGGCCAGGCCGTAGGCTACTTTCTTCATGACGGGTCCTGCCGAGCCCAGGGCTGGGGAGGCGACGTCGACGCCCACGTAGCGGTAGATCACGACGGCACTGACGATGTAGAGCGAGGTGTCGATGATCTGGAGGACGGCGATGGATTTGGGGAATTCCCGGGGTTGCTCCATCTCGGAAACGAACCCGAAGAAGGACGCATGGCCCACTGTATGTTGTCAGGGGCGTACTGTGCAGCTTGAAGAAGGGAAACTCACCGTAGGCAAACAGAATGTTGCTGACAGCCAGAAACTCGGTCTTGAAGCTGTGGTGTGTAACAGCGTCGAGATGGATGTGGCCTGTGTTTTGCACTCCAACGGCAATCATGGTCACGATGACCGCGATGGCGATGCTGAGGAAAGCTTCATCATGCTCTCAGTTCTCTTCCCGCTCGAGGTAGGAGTGGGACTGGGATATGACTTACATGCGAAGGAAATCCAATACACATTTCCCATAGTCCGCGGTAGACTTCCAATGCAGCTGATAACCAGCGCAACGATACCGAAGACAATGGTGCAGGTACCATGGTCGGTGATCGTATTCATGGCAACAGTGAAAGTCAGGATATGGCTGGCCATCACAAACACCAAGAAGAGTAGCTGGCCGCCTCCCAGCAGCTCGCGCCCGAATCGGCCTAGGATGACCTCGCCGGCATCTGCCATGCTATGAATGTGGAGGTATCGCATCTTGAACTGATAGATGAGGTACGCCGTATACCATGCAATGAACGATACACCGATCATCAGAATAATCGAGCTGCTAAGGATCAGTGATCAGTCTTTGGCGTGGTAACGGCCGACTCACGGGACTAGCCCTAAGGTTGCAACAGCAGAGGGAAGAGATAGAATCCCTATCGATACGTTCTCTGCCACCATGACTGCGCATCTCGGTGTTAGAATATCTTGGATAAAGCAATGACTGCAGGCAAGTCTCACGTATTCCACAGCGCCTGTATGAAGGTTACCCTGGTCAGCCCAGTCTGTTACAATGAAGAATCGAGAACAGGCAAAGACTTACCACCACCCCAGTGTGCGATATTTGACTTCTGCACACTCTTCATTACCGAAAGGGTCCTCCTCTGGAGCATCATCAAGAGGTTGCTTCTTTTCCTCGTCGGGGGGCATGTCATATGCATTGGGTACGGTAGTCTCCGCGAGAGTCCCAAACTCACTACTCACAGCCATTTTCAATCAAGTTTGGAAGAAGTATAATGCAGCTTAGTAGGAAGAAATAGCGCAACGACTTCGAGTGCTAACTGTGAAGATTTATGTAGGTCACAAAGAGAGGATAACACCACCTCTCATTTCAGGGTGAGGGAGAACCGGCTTATTAGGATATAGTGGTCCCAAAAAGGTATAAGTGCATTCTCCGGCAGATAACGAGGGAGGTATGCATGACCTATGTCTGAAGAAGTCATGGTGCAGCCTGGAAATCTGAGATCGCTGGGGTCATGAGCGTTATCTTCGACCGGTATCCCTTGTTACCATGACGTATGGATACTGGTAGCCCTCTTCAATTGGTGCCCTTTGTCCACCACCGATACTGTATGTTCATACAGTTCTGGACTTGGTGGAGGCTGTAGACAGGTATGACCAAGCTATAACTCTAGTCCGCATATCAAAGGATTCTGATACGGTAAACAGATTGGAAACGTGGGGATAAGCATAGCGTATCTGGGGAAGTGTCCCAATGCGAGTATCACGGCCAATAAGACGAGGGACGGTTTGATTAGCACCCTTGACATATGCTGAAAGCTGACTCCTGCAATGTCCACCATCAGCTCCAGCGGATCCGCTGGGTTCCGGGCTTCTCCACATTGGAGTGATAAGGTACCGTGGAAATCCGTTGTTTTTGTTCGACTCGAGGTCAAGCATACTCAGCCACTGAGCCGATACTGACCTCGAAGCTAGTTAAGGTCTGTCAATCATGGTTGGTTGTATGTCAATGGCTGCGGATGGACGGCTGCAACCACGGATAGTCAAACCTTGGACATGAGGTTAGTGCATGCGCCTTCACGAAAGAGATAAGCCCAGCCCTCTCCTGGTTATGATTTCCCCGCACTTTCCTCAATTCGGAGGATGAGGAGGTTCCAGTTCCCTTGCTGTAGGGACCCAGCGACGGCTAGCGTAGCCGCCGTTCAATGAAGCTGCTCACGACAGATGTTTATCGAGTGGTCATGATTCGTACATCCTTGGGCTTTTTGCCACTACATGGCCTTTATTTAGCGATTTCGGACATGTCTATCAAGCGTAGTTTCCCTGTATTTGGCTGAACGCGGTATCTATTATGGCTAACTGTGGTGCACCAGGTCTCGTAGCTCGGTATTCATTATGCAGCCTACTCCAAAGGCCGGCAGGACCCTTGCAGCCCTGACGGTTGATGAAGAAGCCCAATCCCGTCGGACCCGACTCCACCTCTCCACCAATCCTTGGCTCTGGGGTCGGGCGATCAGGTCCAACCCGAAGAGGTGTAGTGGAGTGTTGGCAAACTGAACGGCAGCAGGCAGAACTAGCTGAGTGATCATGGCCTTGGTGTGCGGCCCGGTCGCAACCCAATCCGGGACGGATGAGGCCATCCATGGCGCCAGGTTAAATGAGCTGAAGATGGTGACACTGTCCCGGAACAACAGGGACATATATGCTGCTCGTGGGACGCGAGCACCGACTGCAACGGCGGTACTCGAACGACCATAATACTGAGCAAAGTTGACATCCTTCATGATCCCCAGATATACATTCACGACATATGTGGGCAAGAAGCTTAGCGTCGCGGCGAGATTCGCCGTCGATTTCTTGTCGGTGAGGGAGGGAAGATGGTGGATGCAGGTATCCGTGATATTTGCGGTGCAATAGGTAGCTGCGTATAGTGACCAGACAATGAAAAACGGCTTTGAGACGTAGAATTTTCGAGGTTGAAAGATGGAGCAGACTGCGTTGACACCCAGTGTTCGCAATAGTGGTCGGTTCAATGCGAGTCTTTCAACAATCGTCCTAACGGGTGGTGTTAGCAGCCAGAAGATTTTCGCAATCATGAGTGACTGACCGGTCAATGATCGTAACAATTGGGGAGATGAATGTAGCTGATATTACACCGGCAGCAATATCCCCAGCAAGGTGTTTTTGTAACTCGCTGTTCCATCTGGTGGTATGGAAGTTTTGCTGTAAAGTTGAACGATCTGGTGACATTGTGAAGCTCTGATTTCTGAGAAGTATGAGAAACAAGGAAGGCGCACACACGATAAGATTCTTGGGTTTCTGATCTAAACAGAGGGGCTACTGTGAGCGGTTGTAGTGTACAAGAAAGAGTGATAGACCTAGCAGAGTGTCAAGATTGACTCCGTAGAAAGTTGACTACAGAATTAGAAGGTTAAGCTACGCATGGTGCCCTCTGGCTGCACTACCTGGACTACAAGTTGAATTCATGTGTGACTTGGTCATGACAAGCTCGAATGAGGGAGACTTAGTCAATGGTATAATGCAGGTGTAATTCGGACACGGATGATGAATTTTTGATTTTTGTGTTGTCAATCATCAGATAAGACCAATTGATCGAGAGTGTCATCGTATCATGCCTGATAGCTGTAGATGCATGCATTACTTGATAAGGTATTAGCGGGATCTGAGGCCGTTTGTTAGTCTACCCGCTGTAAGGTAAGTTAACTTCTTTCCACCTCGGCTGGACTCCCCGCATTCTCCTCACCTTCTCACCTCCTCCTGCACCAACGGATTGCGTCCCCGAACTGATCCACTTTCTCTCCTCGGATCTACATCCATTGACATCAGCTCCGGCTCGGTAGATGAGAATCATGAGGCATAAGAATCCCATTGCATCGCCAATGGTCGTTGCATCTTCATTGGTGTTCACGATTACCTCCTCACTACCACCGCCACCTTCTCTCCTCTCCCTTCACCTAAATTCATCACAATGGCATTCAAACTCTCTGTCTCTCAGCCCTCGCCGAGCATGCGCTCTCTAGTGCGCCGTGCTGCACGCACCTCCCGCACACAGGTCCGCGGTGCTGCCACCGTTCCTTTCCGACTTCCAGCCGCTCGAAATGAGCCGAATGTAAGTTGACTCGTCATGGCGAACATCGAAAACGAGAAGCTGAACCTGCCCAGCTTGATTATGTGAAGGGCTCATCCGAGCGAGCCAAAATTGAGGAGAAATTGAAGGAACTCAAATCTCAATTACCGCTCAAGAGCCAAATATACATCGATGGCAAGGCGCAAGCCGTCTCAAAGGCAACCGACCAGCCGCTTCCCGCAGAACACGCTACCACATTCACCAACTACCCGTTGGCCAGTCCCGCACAAGTCAACGAAGCTATCGACTTGGCTCTCAAGGCCAAGGAGTCATGGCAGAACACCCCCTTCGTGGATCGTGCCGCAATCTTCCTCAAGGCCGCAGAGCTTGTGGCTGGAAAGTACCGATATGAGCTCATCGCCGCTACGATGCTTGGCCAGGGAAAGAATGTGTGGCAGGGTGAGATCGACGCTGCTGCCGAGCTCGCTGATTTCTTCCGCCTGAACTGCAACTATGCTGCGGAGTTGCTGGAGAAGCAGCCTGACCGCGGCACGGATGGGATGTGGACGTACGTTCGACGAGATTCCCTGATCAATGATCTGCTGCTGACTATTTTCCAGGCGCGTTGACTACAGGCCTCTGGAAGGATTTGTCTACGCAGTGTCCCCGTTCAACTTCACTGCGATTGGCGGCAACCTGATCAGCGGCCCAGCTTTGATGGGCAATGTGGTGATTTGGAAGCCTTCCCCATCAAATGTCTATGCTAGCGAGATCGTATATAAGATTCTCCTAGAGGCTGGGCTGCCTCCCAACGTTATTCAGTTTGTCACTGGAGATGCGGAACAAATCACCCAAACGATCCTGAACCATCGCGAGTTTTCGGGTCTCAACTTCACTGGCTCGTCGGATATTTTCCGGTCCTTGTACAGCCAAGTCGGTGCCAACATAGGCAAGAAGGTCTACAGGGACTACCCTCGGCTCGTGGGTGAGACCAGTGGCAAGAACTTTCACCTGGTCCACCCCACTGCCGACATCACTAGCGCCGTATACCACACTCTTCGCGGTTCATTCGAGTATCAAGGCCAGAAGTGCTCCGCCACGTCGAGACTGTACCTCCCTGAATCACGGGCTGAAGAGTTCCTGGCTAAATTGAAGTCCGAGATCGATGAAATCACCATCGGCTCACCGGAGGACTTGGGAGCCTTCATGGGACCTGTCATTCACCGGGCATCTTTCGAGAAGATCAAGTCGGTCATCGATGCTAGCAACAAGGACTCCTCGCTAGAGCTGCTTGCCGGCGGTACCTATGATGACTCCACTGGATACTATGTTCACCCCACTGTGTACCGGGCCAAGGACATTGACCACCCTCTGTTTGACACCGAGATCTTCGGGCCAGTATTGACAGTCTACGTCTACCCCGATGCCGAATGGTCGTCTATCCTGAAGAAGGTTGACCAAAGCGGCGGTGGCTTTGCTCTGACCGGCGCCGTGTTTGCTGCTGATCGCAAGGCCATTCGTGAAGCCGAGGATACCCTGCGGTACTCCGCTGGCAACTTCTACATCAGTGAGTCTCCTGCCTTGATTATACCTTGAGTTTCTTACTGACCTTCTCATAGACTGCAAGACTACGGCTGCGTTGATTGGCCAGCAATCGTTCGGTGGTAGCCGTGCCAGTGGCACCAACGATAAGGCAGGTAGCTCCAACGTTCTTCTGCGGTTCACCAGCCCACGGACTATCAAGGAGGAGTTCTTCCCTTTGACCGGATTCAAGTATCCTAGCAACGAGTAAGAGGAATAAGCTTGGTGGTTTTGCGGTTATATACTTGTACAAAATCGATATCATGTTCATGAAGTTTGAATAGAATTTGTTCTCAATATATGCTCCCTGCATCCTGTTTTAACAAAATAAGGCTGGGCCCGTGCTACACCTCCAACTGCCAGCGTAGTCTGCCTTTGGGCTTCTGGTCATGTGGTGGTTTGCTTCTAGTCAAGTTTCGTGATTTAGAATCACCAAATTATTATTCACTCACTTGGCAGAGCTAGCTGTCATATCTAATGCGATGGCAAATGTTCCCTGTGTACCAGCTCTAATGCCTCTACAGCTACAAAGCAATGGCAAGGCAGCAGGAGTGACTAAGCAGATCAGTCTTCCCCTCCCTCCGCGGCTGACTTTATTTTGTTTACTCTGCACCACCTCAAATAAGACTGGCAACCCAGGAGACCAGCAGTCTGCTACTTTGACGCGTGCTCTTTGTTCCCTTATCTTTCCATGCTCAACCCGTCGAGAGATTGCAATGCATAGATTTCTGGACAATCTATCTATCCATTTCTGTTGATAACCCCGAAGGGTCCTTGTGGTGCAAGTGCATTTCTCCTGCAAGGATGGATCGCATGCGCTAACCGCCGATCCTCAACCACGCTAACCCCCGCCTTTGTGTGATACCGTATCAAAACGGCCTCCACCGTCGGCTGCGTATCCCGCTCGTATCGCATAAACTAACCCGCATGCTTGGATCCGCGATCACAATCAGTGAGCACCGATAAGCTCCACCTGCCGGTGGACTGGGGGATAAACTAACTGCAACAGCGAGCTGTGCGCGCATCCAGTATGCGAACGAGTGCAGATACAGCTCATAGCACGGCCAGAGTGGTGTGATGACTCCAAGAGGGCGAGGGCCATCATTGACGAGACAAATATATATCCCGCACGTCCCACGCAAGCATCCGCATCTCGAAACCCAACCTCATCCTCAGTTTACTGTCAAACATCATGCCAGTCTCCAAATTCGATCCCATCGTCATCATCGGCGCCGGCGTGTTCGGTCTCTCCACGGCCCTCCAACTGGCCACGGAGGGATACACGGACATCTCCGTCTTCGAGCGCGACGACCAGGTTCCTGGGCGCTTCTCCGCCGGATACGACATCAACAAGATCGTGCGCGCCGAATATGAAGACCCGTGGTACACGGAACTGACCCTTGTATGCTCCTCCTGTGCCCCATTACACTCAACCGCGCATCGCATCCATTCTAACCGCAACCACACAAACAGAAAGCCATCGCCGGCTGGAAAACCCCGCTATACGCACCACACTACCACCAAACAGGCTTCCTGCACTGCGTCTCCGGCATCGGCCCGCAGCAAGCAACCCAAACCCTCGAACGCTTCCTCGCCACGATCAAGAACCACCCGCTCTTCGCCAACAAACTCCTCACGATCACCAACCCCACCCAGATCCCACGCGACGTCGCGTGGCAACTGAACGGGCCGCTACCAGGGTGGAAGGGCTACTTCAACCCGCTCGCGGGCTACGCGCACTCGGCCAACGCGCTGCGCGCCGTCTACGAGGCCGCGGCATCCATCGGCGTGAAATTCTTCCTCGGCGCCGAACGCGGCACGATCACCACCCTCCTGCGCGGCGGGGTGGCCACCTCCCCCGGCAAGGTCACGGGCGTGCGCACGCAGTCCGGCCAAGTCCACAGCTGTCGGCTGGTGATCGTGGCCGTCGGCGCCGCGGCCGGCACCCTGCTGCCGGAGATCGGGCCGCAGGTCGTCGCGAAATCCTGGTCCATCGGGCACGTGCGCCTCACGGACGACGAGACCAGCGCCCTCCGCGGCATCCCCGTCACCTACGCCCGCGACCTGGGCTTCCTGTTCGAGCCCGACCCGGCCACCAACCTGCTGAAGATCTGCCCCATGGGCGGCGGCTACATCAACACCGACCCGGCCACGGGCGTGTCGCTGCCGCCAAAGACCCTCCGCGAGAGCGATAATGTGCTTCCGCCCGAGGATGAGGCCCGCATGCGCAAGCTGCTGCAGCACGCGCTGCCGGCGTTGGCGGAGCGGCCGTTCGTGCAGAAGAAGCTGTGCTGGTTCGCGGATACGGCGGACTCGGACTTTATCGTGGATTTCGTGCCCGGGTCCGCGGGGAGTGTGGCGCTTTGCTCTGGGGACTCCGGGCATTTGTTCAAGATGTTGCCGATTGTGGGCGAGTGGGTGGCACAGTTGGTGAAGGAGGGGCAGCAAGGCGAGAAGCGGTGGCGGTGGAAGGGAGCTGTGGGCCAGGACGAGAAGGAGAAGGGGAAGAAGTGGGCGGGCGGGGACGTGAGTTGGCGGTTGGGGGCGACGAGGGAGTTTGCGGAGATCAAGCCGGTTCCCGGGGCGAGGTTGTAAATACATAGGTAGTATTCTTTGGTGTTTGGTTTTTTCTTACTTGTTAATTGATTGGAAAACGAGAAACGGTCGTTGTTCCAGGAAATGACATGACATTGATCACATTTGCATCATCATCATCATCATACATACATAAATACACTTTCACCACGCCCGAAAAAAAATGAAGAAGAAGAAAGAAAACTACGACAAGGCAAGTGTCCAATTCATCCGCCCCAGAATCCCCTGCCAATCCAGCCCACTTGCCGGAGAATCATGCGGATTGAGATCCCGGTACTTCCAGACCGTCTCCATCGCCTCGCGCGCCACACCCACGTTGCTCACGGGCCACGACTGCGTCAGATACGAGAAGTAGGTCAGCACGCGCACGCGCGCCTCGTCCGCCGCCGACAGGCACCCCGCCAGGAACAGCGGCCACATGGGGAACAGCTGCCGCTCCTGGTCCTCGCGGATGACCCGGCCGATACGGTCGAGCAGCCGGCCCAGCAGTTTCTGCAGCGTTGGCTGCGTCAGCGGGATGTCGCAGGCCAGCTGGAGGTAGAGGTCGGCCGCCAGCCGGAAGCACTGGCCGCAGGTGGCCAGGTACTCGCGGTCTTTCGTGGTCGTGGGCGGGGCGGGATATACCTCGGCCAGGGCGTCGAGCTCGCTGCGCAGCTGCATCGCTTGGTGCATCATTGCGCCCTCGGAGGCGAGCGAGCTGGTGCCGCTGGAGCGCAGGTTTTGTTTGTGCGTGACTAGGTCGGTGGCCCGCGCGATGATGTCCAGGAGGCCGAGCGAGCAGCCGATGTGCGGTTGGTAGGTGGTTTTGTGGGCCGTGTCGTGGAGGTAGATGTCCCAGGGGAAAATTTCGGGGGGCAGGTGCTGCGAGGTGGTCGTTTTTGGTGGTGGTGGTGTTGGGGTTTTGGAGAGGGTGGAGGGGTGGTGGTCTGGCGGGGAGGTGGTGGTGGTTGTTGTTGTCTGATGCTGCGGTGGGTTGCAGCCTGTGGTGCGGAAGAAAAGGGCGCGAGACTGGAAATAGCTCTGGGTGAAGAAGAAGATCTCCGGGTCGACGGCCGAGCCGTAGCTGTTGATGATGGCGAAGGCGCCTTGCGCGTGGCGCACCCAGTCCGGGCGACAGCCGCAGGCGATCTCGAGCGAGCATAGGATCAGACACGTCATGAGAGCTTCGTTCACGTCCTCCATCTGTGTGAGGGACTCGCGGAGGAGCTGCAGGGCGAGGGATTTGTAGGAGAGGGAGAGTTGGGCGTAGTTGATGGTGGTCGTCGTCACCGCCTCTTCTGCTCGGCGGTCGTTCGCGCTCATCGAGAGCACAGCGTACCAGAGGGGCTTGCGGCGCGAGCAGAAGGGGATGACGAGCGAGCGGAATTTGTTGCGCGGCTCGTCTTGGAAGACTCGGACTTTGCATATGACCTGCAGATCTGTGGTTGTGAGCTTTCTGTCCTTGATCGTGGTTGTTAGCTGCGCTTGGGTGCAGTTTGCTTACAGTATTGGAATAACTGGGTTTCTAGCTCGCTGCAGTCTATCAGAAGAGCTGTGAAGGGCGAAGGTTCCGTGTTGAGTCTGGTGGGGCAATCGTCTGGTTGATTGTCGCGATCTATACTTTGTTTCGAGGACGGTGTCGGAAGATGGTGATACTGTTCGCATAATAATACATCTGCATCATGGTAGGATACGCTGAGGAATTGCCAACGGTTTCGTCGATTTGGAGAAGATCGGTGTCCTTTGCCTGTGGGAGAATGGTTACTGCTGCTCGGTAGTTCACGGGGATGGGCGGTGCGCATACTGAGAGAGATCTTGAAGCGCAATGGCGCCGGTTGCGTCGTTTCGAACAGATAAGAACAGTCGAATCCTCGGACCTCACAGTTTCTACACGCAGGTCTCTCTTCTGTAGTCGTGTGAGCAAGCGTCAGGGTGAATGAGGGACGGGATCGAGAACCGACCTCCGCAACGGCGTTTCCGTTCTGTAGATTCGGGGACAGGTCAGTGGAGAAAACAATGGGGACGAGTTCAATGGGGTAGCAGGGACCCGTACTCTTGCAATTCAAGCAACCGGTTCGACTTCTGACGCTCATGATTCTGTCGTTCTCAGGGTGTTTCGAGAGGGACAACTTGAAGTAAGCAGGAAGCAGGAAGCAAGAAAAGAGAAGCAGGAAGAAGAGTTGTTTGATGCGGTCTTCGGTTGCTCGTGGCAAAATGCGGGGCGGGATTCTCTTGGTTTCTCACGGCTTTCCCTCTGCTTCATGCGGGGTCTGATGGTCATCAACACTGGCAAGATGAAAGACACTGGAATGCAGAGCAAGGAGGCTGCACGGAAGATGCTGAGATGGGAACAAGTCATTTCAATTCCTCTCCTTCATCATCATCATCATCATCACTCACTTCACTTCACTTGGCGCTTGCGACATGGCTGCACCAACATCGAACCATAACCCTTATCTTATCTGTGACTGAGGAGTTGGATTGACTCTCTTATCAGCTCGATAGGATGCACGAGTTATGCAAGACATGTGCCGGAAGACTCGCCTCTTTCAGTCATGCCCTGGAGTATTCACCGATACCAACAGCGTCACATTCGCAGCGAGGGACTCCTGCTATTTTCCAGAGTCTGTCCATACTTCGAAGAGAGCTCGTCTGAGCAACCGCGTCGATGCCATATGACCATGACTGCGATGCTTCAACCAAGCCTTTCTGATCTCTAATATCCGATACTCTAGTACTCACTACTACATGGGGCTACTGTACTTCCCAACAGAACCCCCTTGGTTCTACCCCTCAAGCTCCCACTGACGGGTTGCAGCGCCGAGTCCTAATCAGTAGTTGCCTGCCCATCGGCTCTTCCTCCGATGATAACCCTGCAGCTGGGTTGTGTTTCAATGCCGTACCGTATCAAACTGCTCTCCAGTACGGTCGATCCGGGGCATGTCACGAGTGGTCAGTGCCTGTCTGGACATGGATGAGACTACTCCGCTGCTCAACGTGCAGCAGGGCCTCGCACACGGGGTCTGATAGCTTAGCAATAGATGGAATTGAGATTATCACCCCCCATCCTTATCAGTCCTAGTCGCTGCAAGCATATCATGTACCCCGCAAACCCTACAAGAGGGCTATAAAGATGGCTGTGGCATGAGGAAGAGTCTGTCTTCGCATCATCACTCCTCTCTACCATCATTGACTATCTCAAGCAATGTCTGCCTCCTTAAGGGCAACCTCCAACCTAGGCACCACAGGCATTGCCGTATTCCGAGCTCCTTTGGCCCTCCGACATCAGCGATATGTCTCCACGCGGTCGTCCATAAGTGGAGAGAGCGTTGCCCCCGTGGTGGCCAACACGCCGGCCGAGGTCAAGAAGGCCGCAGCGTCTGCTTCTGCCCACTCAGTCATTCCGACAGGCGTGCTGCTGCGGTCACTCCTGGTGACGACCGTCTCCTCCCACCCGCTTCTATTAGGGCCCAGCTTATCCATCCTATCTTTTCTCTCCAAGTCCCGCAGCCTTCTGCTGGATGTGGAACGAAACCCACTCATCTACTGGTTCCTACGAAAGACATTCTACGACCACTTCTGTGCGGGAGAGAAGGAAGCCGAGGTGCACCGAACCATCCAGCAGATCAAGAGCACGGGAGTGAAGGGAGTGATCTTGACCTACACGCGGGAGACGGTGCAGGACTCGCGCACGGAGAAGCAACGGTTCGCCAATACGAGAGCCTTGGAGAAGGCTGCATCGACAGAGACCTGCGAGCACATCCAAGCGTGGAGGGAAGATGTCCTCCGCACGGTGGACATGCTTGGCCCGGGAGACTTCCTTGCTCCGAAGTGAGTGTTTCTAGAAATGACCATTGCTAGTTTGGACGAAATACTAACAATGGATCAGACTCACTGGTGCCGGCCCCAAGGTGACGCAGGCCTTTGCCGCAGGCCAGCCCGTCCCCGCCCAGATGGTCGAGGCACTCGACGAAGTGTGCCAGCGCGTGGTAGAGAAGAAAGCCCGGCTGCTGATGGACGCAGAGCAACACGCCTTCCTGGGGGGCATCCATAGCCTGACCCTGGACATGATGCGCAAGTACAATCGCCACGGCAAGGCGGTCATCTACAACACCTTCCAAGCCTACCTCAAAGCCGCCCCGGAACTGATCGCCGCGCACCTGAAGCTCGCCAACGAAGAAGGCTTCACCCTGGGATTGAAGCTCGTCCGCGGCGCCTACATGAGCAGCGATCCGCGACACCTAATCCACGACACGAAGGAGGACACTGACCGGGCCTACGACACGATCGTGCGGGGGATCCTGCAGCAGAACTACAAGGGGTTCGGGGCAACAAAAAACTGCCCGTTCCCCGCCACCGACCTGTTCTTGGCCACGCACAATATCGACAGCGCGGTGGCGGCGCACAACCTGCATGAGGCGCGCGTCCGGGCCAACCTCCCGACGTGCAAGGTTGAGTTCGGGCAGCTGATGGGGATGGCGGACGGGGTGACCTACGGCCTGCTGCAGCTCACGGGCGCGGAACAAGGGGCTGCTCCCCCCCCAGCCGTCTACAAGTGCTTGCACTGGGGCAGTATGAGCGAGTGTCTGAGTTTCCTGCTGCGGAGGGCGGCGGAGAATCGCGATGCGGTGGCCAGGACGATGACCGAGCACGCGGCGCTCAAGGCGGAGGTGAAGCGGAGGATCCGGGCTGGGCTCGGGCGATCTTAGCTATCTACACGGATATTATCAAATAGAATGACTATAACGATTATGACTGTCTATCTTTTGTGACTCGGGAGTGTCTCCACATACCTGGGATAAGTTTGCCCTTACGAGATATCGATGCGGGGAAAGAGGAGTTATGCTTGGTGTCTGTATACTTCAATCTCCAATACCCTCGGATACACCCTCCGTAATGCAGCTGTACCGCAGCGGTATATACTAGTACTAGCGGATCCCAGCAACAGCGGTTAGTCCAGCCGCTCTCCGCTCCGTCCTTCGGGTCTGCATCCGCACACACTCCCAACAACCAACCCATCCTATGCATACAACAATACATACACAATGGACCCCACAAACAATCCCGGTAGCAATCATATTGGCCTCAACACCACCACAACACCAACACAACACCAATACAACACCACGCATCTCTCTCAGACTACAAACTAACCAAATCCAGACCCTCCTCCAAGCCACATACCGACTACACACCTCACATAACTAACTGGTCAACACCCTTATTTAGCACCCGCTAACCCACGACCACCACCCACAGCCACGCCCTCCACCTCGCCGCTCGCCGCCTGCCACGGCCACGGCCACGCAAAGATCTACCACTCCCACCTAACTCCAACTCAACCCACAGGCAAACCCGCTACCAGCCGCGCCGTAGGCCTCGCGGAAAGTGCACCGCTACGCCACCGCCAATGGGCTGCGGTTCGGGCTCTGCTTGGCTCGCTACCCCCTCCTCCCATAGGAGTAGAAGTAGAGGAAATGCAGGTGGGTTCAGGGGGGGCTGCCTCGTCCGATCTGCGCGGAGGGGCCATCGGCCTTGCCGGTTGCGGTGTGGGATGCTGCGGTTCCGCGCGAGGTTTGGGGGGGAGTGGAGCGGGAGGAGGAGGGTCGGGTGACGGGGTATGTATAGTTTGGGAGAGTGGGGGGTTGTTGGGTTGTTGCGGGGAGGGAGGACGGGTGTAGATGGAAGGTGGGAGGGGGGAATAGCAACAGCACCCTGTAGAGAGTTGGATATAGCTACCTCGGCGGAGGATGGAGAGGGAGCAGGCGGTGGTTGAGTCGGGGCCGATGATGGCGATGCGGGCGGAGACAGAGACGGGTCGTTCTGCTGGCGCTGGGTCGATTGCTGCTGCATAGGGATGGAAGCTTATTGTTGATGGTGGGATATGATTAGGTCGGCATTGGGTGTTGTGTTTGTTGCTCTAGGTCGAGGATTGGGCTGCAGGAGTAACTAGTAGGTATAGGTCTACCGCTTCTGCGGGAGTCAACGCTGTTAGTGATGGGTGAGAAGAATAGAGACCCTTTGCAGTGGAGAATCCAGTCTCATTTGGGCTATGGTAGTTATCACGGTTCAGGATGGGATGGTTTTACTTGATCGGATCGCGCGTAGTACAGTACACCACGCCAGTCCCCTCCAAGCCACTATACCCAACTACCTTATCACCACAAACTCCCTCCCTCGCTCCCTCAGCCCAAAGCCACCTACCGCGTCCCATTAACAAACCCCTCCCCCCCCTCCGCCTGCCTCCCCATCAACCCCGCCACCGAAACCGCCTCCCTCATCCCCCGCGCCACCGTGCCCCTCAACCCCCGCTCCTCCAACACCATCAACCCGCCCATCGTACACCCCCCGGGCGACGTCCCCTGATCCCTGAGGAGAGCAGGATGCAGCCCGCCCTCCTGCATCAACGCCGTCGCCCCCCTCAACGCCTGCAGCACCGTGGTCCTTGCATCTCCCCGCGGAAACCCCATCGCCACAGCGCCCTCGATCAGCGCGTCCGCGAACACGGCCACGAACGCCGGCGTCGAGCCCCCCACCGCCGTGAAGGCGGTCATCTGGGCCGGCGGGATGAGCTGCGTCTGGCCCACGGCCGAGAAGATCGTTTGGGTGAGGGTGATGTGTGCGTCGGTGGGGTTGGCTCTGCCCTCGCTGGTATCCGTAGGGGCGCCAGGGGGCACCTCGATCGCGGTGATGCTCTGCCCCACGAGCGCGGCCATGTTGGGCAGGGTGCGGATGATCTGGAGATCGTGGACGTCCGGCACGAGGTTGAAGAGCGCGGACCGGGTCCAGCCTGCGGCGATGCTGATGAGGAATTTGCCGGAGAGGGCGGCGCGGAGGGTCGCGTCGGCGAAGAAGGTGGGGATGTCGGCGGGGTCGATGCAGAGCAGGATCGTGGTGGCTTTTTGGATGGCGGTGAGGTTGGCGTCCGGTCCGTGCAGGATGGTTACCTTGGGGCTGTCTGGGTCGGTGGGCGTGAGGTAGGGGGTGAACAGGTTGGTGAGTTTGGTGTACGAGGTGGCGCTGCGGGTGGTTGCGATGTAGGATTTGGGGAGCGCTGGGGTCGTGCTGGTGCTGGTGCTGGTGCTGGTGCTTGGGGGTGTGGTCTGGGCTTGGGTCTGGGCTTTCAGGAGGCCGTTGAGGATGGCTGTGCCCATGTTTCCTTTGTCGGATGTTAGTTTTTCTCTCAAGGAGCAAGAGGGGAGAGTAAAGGCTTACCGCAGCCGATGACACTGAGCGTTTGCTCGCTGGTTGGGTTGGTCGACATTGTTTCGAGGTGGTTGGATGTAGAGGTTGTGTGCTGTGGCGATAGAAGCGACGGCGAATTGACAAGCTGTGCAACGTGAAATGCAATTGCTTATATACTATGAGAACTGGCGGAAATTGTGAGTGAGAAGCGAAGCGTACGGTCCACATACGTGGATACCTGATATAGTTCGGTTTAAGAGGCTGTTGTTCCTCACGGGAGCTGCTCCGAGCCCAGAGATTGCTGACTGAGCGAGCCAGAGCAGTCCGGGAGCCACTCCGAGTGGCTGCACAAAACCATCACTTTTTGTGGCTACCTACTCAGTATGTTGCAACAGGAAGTGTAGAAGAAAATATTATTACATTCCCAGGCCGGTGGGGCATTATAACACTAAATAGATATAGGTTTGTTGGGGAAAAGTCACATAGATACATGAATAATAGCCAGTAAACCCACGACGGGAAATCAACATCGCGTGAGGTAAGGGAAATCGTGATATGAACACGCAGAATCAAGCATGGTTGTCCTGAGCAGGACTTGGGTTCGTCGAAAGTGACGAGTATGGTTTGGTGCAATTTGTTCACCGTATGGCCAGTTCGTTGGCTTGTCTATGACGTGGTACGTGTTGCCAACAGTTGTACAAGAGGGTAGAGAATATGTCCTTCTCATGGCTTTGCCATGATGGTAGAGCCTATCATGGCCGATGGCGTTGATCCTGTCGGGTCGGGTTGTACAGAGCAGGCCAGGTTCGAATGAGTAAAGTACATTAGCCATGTTCATGGCTTCGGTTCCCGCTCGAGAAGAGCTCAGCCTGGATGGCTGTTCCTTGTGGGTTTGCGATTCTCGGTCTAATAGCCGAGTCAATACTGGCATCTAACGCAGTCGCCAGGTCGACATCAGGCGCCCAGTCGCCTGATTCATCGTCTTGAGCAGCAAGCGCCGCGCCGAGCACGCGTCGAATATATGGATCCGAAGGGCCAACTTAAAGAGACGGGTCGGTCTTCCATGTACCTATCAGAGTGTTAGTCATCCTGAGTGACAGGTACGAAAAAGCAACCGCAACTGACCTCCGAAATTATGTTTGACGAATGCCATCGGGTCGTCGATATCTCCTGCATTCATCTGGTGCACACCCGGACTGAAACTCGTAATAGGTAGTACCACCACGTCCCCCACCTTCTTGTACCCTTCCAAATTGGTAAAGTCCTCGTAAGTGACATTCAAGGTAGAACCCGGCTCAATGTTGAAGTACTCGGGATCATTGAAGTACCGGAAGACAGCGTCGGTCCAGGCCCCCGGTCCCGTGAACTCCATGATCGTCTTATCCATCTTTCCGACTTTCAAGATTCCCGCCTTCTTCATTCGCAGCGCCTCCTCGGTGATGTAGGTGACAATGTCCCGGAAGATCGGGTGGCCCGGTTTGGCCTGGATAGTCCACTGGCAGAACTGGATTCGGCGCGCATACCAGTCGTGCCAGTCGGGACGGTCTGGATCCGCCTCAATCCCGACGACAGCTCCGACGGTCGTCAGATCCAGCTCCGAAGGCAGCCAGTCCGACGCGGGCTTCAACGCCGTTGTGTCAATGTCGCTGTAGATCCCGCCCCGCGCCAGAAGAATGAGATACCGGAAGAAGTCGGCCTTGAGGACAGGCAAAGGCATGGATTCAAAGGCCTCGTATACGTCCGGCACCGATCCATAAAGATACTTGATCAAATGTCGCAAAGTATCGTCGGGGATGACCTCATGAACAAACCCCGGGTGGAGCTCGGTCCAGCTGGCCTCGGGGTCACGCAGTTCCTCCGAGAAAAACATCGACTCGGGAGTGTACTTCCATGTCTGCCAAATGTATGCGGGGAATTTGCCGTTGAGATCGTAGGGAAAGTGATAACGCAAGCGGTCGCGCAATGGGGCGCTCGGAGGAGGGGAGAGGGGTTGTTGCTTATTGCTGTCCGGCTTCTGCTCCTGGGGCTGGTCATTCGTTATTTGGCCATCGTCGTAGGCCTTCGCGGCGGAGGCGGGCACCGGCGGCGACACGGACGGGGAGGAATGCGAAGATCGGAAAAAGACGATGAAGGTGATCAGTAACACGGCCGCAAAAAGCGACTTGCGAAAAGTGAGCATCGTGGCGCAAATAGGGGGGAGGTAATGTTGTTGTAGTCGGCTAAATCCGGGCTACCGTTGACAGCTCCAGGAATTTCCCCAGATGTTTTTTTTTATTTCCCACTTTCGCAGGCTTCCCCGAGACAATGTCAATCGTCAATCTTGGTCCAAGGTCAATTGGTGTCTCTTCCACGGAACTGTCCCCGATTGTGCATATCCGTAGGCCGTAAGTGTCCCGGCAAAAAGGGCTGTCGTCGTCAGAAAGGCGTCAGAGCGAACGGGTGCGATGGATTGCGCGTTCGCTGAAAAGGCCGACAGAGAACGATGAGTGAACTAGGGCTCTTGCAACCGTGCCATGGGGGCGACAAAGAAGATAAGATATTTGAAAAGAGACCGGTCAATCCAGACAGGCGTCGGTTGTACGACACCAGCGCGGGAAAAATAAAAGAGAACTGATTCAATGTTTGAAGAGGGGAGGGAGTTAAGTTGTTTGGTGTTGGTCGGTGGAGCCCGCGGATTCGGGAGTGACGACGGCCTTTTTGGTGGCGTCAAATTGTCAATTCTTCCCGATCAACATCCCTACACATACTTGAGTACATCCAGGCATCGGCACATCCCATGCACCAGAGACGCGGCCAGCTGGCTCTTGGTTGCTTCTTATAGGTCTGTCTTCCTTTTGTCTTCGTGTCTTTTCACAAGGAAATCCAAGCCCAGGGGGGGAAAACATAAGTGCCTGCAACCTCAACCTCAACCTCAACCTTGGTGCTATCGACTTCTGCCTGCAACGGGAAGATGATCGTCCCTCTCGTTCTTTCCCACGAACTACTCGAGTAAATTATTCTACCGTGATTTCATTCATGGAACAGGTCAGGTCGTCGGGTGTACCTGATTATCGAGCAGTTTGAGGTTGCAACACTCTCCTGTTTCTCCTGTTTCTCCTTGTTTCCCCACAGCACAATCGGTTTGCACCGCCGTTTTCGGCCCTACCGTCAGATCCACCTGCGATCGCAAGGCTGCCTGTCGGATGTCCAAAGGCTCCAGACTCCAGACCACATTTTAAGGTTACGCTCGGGGTTTGAATCAACGGGGGATATCTTCAGTCCTGATGATGATCAACTATGGAACGTCTAAGATCCGAGAGTGACAAGAATATCCCCGGTCGCATTGAACGTGGTGGAAGGCATACGGGAAGGGGTTGCGTCACCCTCCAGCAAGCCGCGTCATGGATCCGACTTGGCTTCGGCGCTTGTCTGGCCCTGCCCTTCGGCTGTAAAGGAAACAAGCCTTCAGCTGCAGCTGGTGTACTCCGGAATATGTCTGAGTGTGTGATTGCTGGCTGTCACTCCCGCTTCCTCTTCCCCCTTCTTCCCGCTTCATGTGCTCGGTATTTCCTCCATCCACAATCTCCTATTCACAATCACCAACTCACGGGCAATTGACAAATTGAAAATGACTCAATCACCGCAATGCTTAATAAGGAATCTCGTCAAGACGCTTGTCCTTCTACAACCGTCTCGAGTCTCAGATTGCCACAGGCCTTATCTCGAGCTTTTCGCTACAATTGAAATTTACGGGACAGTACCGCTTTTTACAATACACGTGGGAGCATTCTCGGCCTGAGAGTGGCTGATGAAAGCTACCCGACCCGATAGTTACTGAAAGCGGTACACAGGCTGTAGCCACGGAAAAGTCTCTTACCAGATCTCATGAATGAAAGATAATGAACAACACTGGAAAGTCAACCCTGGATGAGAACCTCTCGATCATGGTTGCTTGAATGCTACGGTACCTGATCAGCGTCATTCCACAACGTCATTGACCTTGAGCACAAGACACTCTGTGCTATGTCCAAATGTCCTTTGTCCTCAACACATGCTCCGAGTGTGATTGTCTTTGCACCTGAGCTGGCTGTAAACGCGAAAACAGTCAGCTCAGCGCTGATTCAAGGACAATGGTCAATTGAGCGTTAGCAATGGTCCAGCAATGGCTGGCCTATACTTCAGTAGTCAACATGCACATGCTCCCAGGCACAAATTCCTTATACAGAAGAAAAGACCTCATCATGATCCCGGTGGCGGCTGATCTAATCAATGCGCTCATCCCTTGAGTCAAAGCGGATGCTTAGCCCGCGGCTGCAAGAGACGACTGGCTAACATGAAGTACTACCGAGTAGATCCCGGGGTCCAGAAGTGGCTGTTCAATCCGGCCAACTGACGTCTTGGAAATGGTCAGCCAGTTCCTTTCGCTATGCTGACGCCAATTTGCGTGCTTGCCTTAGATTACCATCAGCGCTGCGATTCTCTGTCTGAAACGGGACCCCGCGTTGCGAAACACCGTAGTCTTTTCTAATTAAAACTCCATCTGAGTGTGCTATAAACCTGAATAGCAGTATCTGGTTCAGCTACCGTTGCATACGCACATGAATGGTACCCTGGTACGATCGATCATACCCTCCGGCTAGCCGGGGCATGGTGAGAAACATAGGCGGAAATGGAGACACAACAGAGAACGAGAGGGATCTGGAGCCTGTTCGGGGCGCCCGCAAAGCCAAGCTCCCGATCTACACAACCTGAATCCGGTGCAGAGAAGGGTATATCTGTACTGAAGTCACCCGACAGTGCATCGTCGTCAGATTCCTCCGCCAGGGGCCCGAGACCCTGGACGCGGGGTAAGATCCTGACAGTGTCGATCTTAGCCTTCTTCGCGTTGGCGATAATCGTCATCGCCATCACGGTTCCCATAGTCTTGGTGAAGAGGAACAAATCCCATGATGATCCCAGCTATCACAACGCAGCAAACCAACCGATTCAGGTCCTCTCGGACTTTCCAGATCCTGGGCTACTCCATGTGAACAGCACCTGGTATACCTACGGCACCAATGCAGTCAAGAACAACTCCGAAGTGCCTCATGTACCCGTCGCGACGTCCAGGGACTTCAGCTCGTGGAAGCTGCTCGACGGCCACGATGCCATGCCCTCGTTGAGTGGCTGGGAGACAGACATCAATCACTACGCCCCGGACGTGATCCAGCGCGTACGTACCACATCTACTGCCACCATCCCCCAACACCCAAGCCCCCAGCAACTTACTAACCGGACGTGAACTCAGGACGACGGACGATACGTCCTCTACTACTCCGGCGAACTCAAAGACTGGGTCTACCACCACTGCGTCGGCGTCGCCGTCACCAACGGCACGAACCCGCTGGGCCCCTACGTGCCGCAGCGCAAACCGCTGGCCTGCCCGCGCGACCAAGGCGGCGCGATCGACCCGTCGCCCTTCCGCGACGTCGACGGCAAGCTCTACGTCGTCTACAAAGCGGACGCCAACAGCATCGGGCACGGCGGCGACTGCAACAACGGCAAGAAGCCCGTGCTGCCCGTCCCCATCCTCCTGCAGGAGCTCGAGGCCGACGGCGTGACCCCCGTCGGCGACCCGGACCAGATCCTCCAGAACGACAAGAGCGACGGCCCGCTGGTCGAGGCGCCCAACCTCCTGCGCACCGCCCAGGGCATCTACTACCTGTTCTTCTCCTCCCACTGCTTCACCTCCCCGAAGTACGACGTCAAGTACGCCTACGCCACGTCGCTGAAGGGGCCCTACACCCGCGCGGACCGGGCGCTGTTCAAGACCGGCGACTTCGGGCTCAAGTCGCCCGGTGGCGCAACCGTTTCGCGGGACGGCACGCGGATCGTGTTTCATGCGAACTGTGGCAAGTTGCGGTGTTTGCATGCGGCGGCTATCGCGATTCATGCCAATTCGACCATTACCCCTGCTTCACTTTATTTCGGAAGGACGGCCGGCGCATTTGTGCAGATCACCTGTAATGTGTTACGATTCACGGATCATCAGCATGGAACTGAGGGCTCTTATGTAAGAGCAAGTGTGTAGATAAGCTGTAGCCATGGTCACTGTACACTCGAAGATACGAAGCAACGTCTTGACGACTCTATCAACGATCTTTACTGTATTCATTCAATACCGTCTGTACAGCACTATATAAGGATACTAAACCACGGACCGTCTCTAATGCATGCCCTTCCACATCATGTCGTAAGAAGAAAAGGAAATCAACGAGCAGACTTGCATGGCCCTCAGATTAGCTCTCAGGTTCTCACTGATTTCCAGGCTTGATTTTGTAGACGCAACACGACGTGTCACGAGTCAGCCGGATACCATACAACTTTGGCTTTTGGGTAAATTCCTCGTCACCGGGCCATGGTCTGTCTACTGAAGTGGTTCGTGAGCTGGATTTGGTAAAGGGAGTGATAAATGATAGTTGAGTAAGTGCGGTCTGGAAGAATGTGAAGGGTGTTCATCTACTCTGTATGCCACCTGAACCAGGTCGAGTCATATGCCATCGTACTGCATCATGTGCGGGAGGCCTAGGACTTTATGCTGTGTCAGTGTCAGGGTGGTGGTCTTGTTAGATGCCAGTTGCTTGAAGCAGGTGGGGTGTCATTGAGGCCCTGTAGGATTTTCTTAGTTATGGATGTGGTGGTGAGTGCCGCGCCTTGATCAGATTGAAAACTACTATTGAATATTCCTTCGTCATCGGCAGATGCTCGACGTCGTTACCTTTGATAGGCGAACAGGCGGAGCAAGTGATGTAGCCTCAGAGTGCTTGATGGTTTGTCATCATTTCGGCGGGCAAGAGAGTGGTAGAGGGATGTTGCGATTTGTTGTTTGAAGTAAGGGGTAGGGGAGCAGTATCATATGGCTGGGTGGACAGGAGATGGGTCAAGGTGGTTAGCTGCCTCAGTTTTACATGGAGCATGACGAATGGTCGAACGGAATGCGGGAGGTTTTCCGGCTGTATTTATATCCTCGCCATTTGTGATGGTGCTGGGGTGCTGAAATGAAGAAGGGGATGCTTCTTGCGGTTGGTATTCGGTTTCGGAGATTCGAACATCGACTGGGTTCCTGCGCCTTCGTGATATCATATGGGTGTGGTGTTCAGGGTGTTCGTGGTCAACCGTCACGTGTTGGTGACCAGGGATGTATGTCTCTTGAAGCATGATATAACAGTAGCTTTCTTGGATGATAATCTGAGATGGTGTCTTAAATCTTCGAACCATGTTTACCTCGTTGGAAGTCATTGTTCTAGCCGAGGTCAAGAACTGGACAAATATGCAAGGAGTGGTGTCGGCTCCGGGCCCCACTGCTATCTCTTTTCAGTTGGCTCGGGCCTATTTGTTGCTTTCGCTTGTCTCTGCTTTGTCTCTGGCCTCCTTGGATGCCGTTCGTCTGTTGTCTGAGGGCTCTTGCTGGGGCGAGTCTGGTGGCTCTGGCTGGCTGGCTGGCTGGCTGGCTCTGACTCTCTAGCTCTGGCTCTCTAGCTCTAGCTCTCTAGCTCTGGCTCTCTGGCTCTGGCTCTTAAGCTCTGGCTATTTGGTTTTGTCTCTGTGGCTCTGGCTCACTGGCTCTGGCCTGTCTGGTGGCACTGGCTGTCTGGCTCAGGCACAGGCTGTTAGGCTCTTGCTCCGGCTCTTTAGCTCTGGCTGTTTGGTTTTTTCTGGTGGCTCTGGCTCTGTAGCTCAGGCTCAGGCTCTCTAGCTCTGGCTCTGGCCTCACTGGCTCTGGCCTCACTGGCTCTGGCCTCACTGGCTCTGGCCTCACTGGCTCTGGCCTCACTGGCTCTGGCCTGTCTCCGGCTTTCGCCTCAAACCTGGCTCTTGCAGGCCCATCTGTGGCTCTTACTGGCCGATCTGTGACCCCGGTGGGGTTAACAGTAGCAGTCCTCCTGTTAGAATTCGCGAAATCTCGCTAAGAAATCACGAGTCGCGGGCTCTTCCCCAACCGGCATTTCTTCAGTTTGGGGGTCTAGCCACGGGAAGGTCTAGGGACATAGCCTTTTGCTTTTCCCCCTTCTCCCCTGCGCTGACCTCGGATAATTTGGGCCGGTCTTCCCGGACTTTGGTGGTTCGGTGGTGCCTATATGCCGGCGTTTCTCTTCAAAAGCACTCGGCATCTGGCATCCTCCAAATTGCGCCGCTGGGCAGCAGTATTCTTGTAGAGGGTAGGGTGGTATACACGATGTTGACACGTCGTTGACCAAGATAGACCGCGACAATAGCAGCCGTATCGTTTCGATGTGTCTGAGACAGGAGTTCGCTAGTTTGAGTAACGACACTCCTGCTCAGGGGCAACACCTTATGGAGTATAATGGTTCTTGAGAAAGTCACCGGTCTGTCAAGACGTGGTAGCCTCTTCAAATCTTCGCATGCAGCGCACATCCTATCAGAAATATAGCAAGAACATTAATCCAATGCTGGGGAGAAGACAAACAAACCTATACATGGGAAAAGAAACACCACAAGGCGAGACTTCCACCAATCCCTTAGATCTCTGTTCAATTTCTCAATCACTCACACTTTTAGACAGATGTCTTCTTCCATTCCAGAGTTCCTAAAAAGATGAAGTCCACTGCCCGGACCTAGGTATAATGGTCCCTTGGAAAAGGTGTCATGAGATAAAGCTCTTTGTGTGGTGTTCTCGTCATCGGGATGGTGGAAATCTTGCTTGTGGGTTGGAAATTCGCAGCGAGGTTGCTTGAGAGGAGGATTGGTTCTTATTGAATAGAAATGAAATTGCTGCACTGGGTGTTCTCATGAAAACACTGTTCCAGGCTTCATGGATGATCAACCGCGTCGGGGAGTTGGTTGGGTGTTGCGGAGACGCGCGCCCGCGGGCAGAGAAAGTCATCGCGGAAGCACGTGACTTATGTCAGATTTGCGGCGAGCGGTTTCTCCACTCGAGCTTCAAGTTTGCCTTGGAACTACGTAACATTTCGCAAAGGGGACCTTTGTCGTTGAAATCTGGGTTGTCTAGGTTAGTGTATCACTCCATCACTACTCATGGATAAACCCGCAACTTGTCCAATGCGATCTTGATCTGATGCGACGGATCTTTCTCTTTTCTGACTCTCTGCTATAGTTTGCGACACTAGTCGGCACATACCTATACCTACCCACCTACACGGGAAACTCCGAGACCAACCCATAGAGGTACAATTGCAAAGATGTCATCCTGGCTTCAGCGCCAGGGTAGCTCCCATCAGTCGCAGCTGGCTGCTACGGCCGTACTCTCGGGCGCCGCAGTCGCTGGCGTCATTCTCGGCTACCAAGCGCTTCGGCGGAAAGAAGCCGTCCAGCAGCTCAAGGCCTCGATCCCAAGTATCGACGAACAACATCACGCAGAGAAGGTACATTCACTCCAAAGAATACTGCAACTTCTGAAGCTAATTGATTCTGGTCGTTCAAAAGCTCACAGATTATGGAGTCTCCGCCGCCACGCAACTGAGCAAAGAAGACGAGCGCAGCGCCGCTCTCGCCCGTCGAGCACAAGAAGGCGATTACGATGACGGTATGCCACGGGTTAACCCCGGACGGAGTCAAAAGCTTCCTCGTTGCTAACGAGCTTCATCCGTGATTAGACCTCATCCTCGAACAGCTCGCCCGGAACCGCGTCTTCCTGACGGACGAGGGCCTCGCGAAGCTCCGATCCTCCTACATCGTGGTCGTCGGCTGCGGCGGGGTGGGCTCGCACGCGGTGGCCGCGCTGGCGCGCTCGGGCGTGTCCAAGATCCGGCTGATTGACTTCGACCAGGTGACGCTCTCGTCGCTGAACCGGCACGCGCTGGCGACGCTGGCGGACGTGGGCACGCCCAAGGTGCACTGCATCCGCAAACGCCTGGAGCAGATCGTGCCGTGGGTGAAATTCGACTGCCGCAACGAGCTGTTCGGCGGATCGGTGGCCGAGAAGCTGCTGGCGCCGTGGGCGCAGAACGACGGCGACAAGGGCCGCAAGCCGGACTTCGTGCTCGACTGCATCGACAACATCACCTCCAAGGTGGAGCTGCTGCACTACTGCCACACCCAGGGGATCCCCGTCATCTCCGCCATGGGCGCCGGCTGCAAGTCGGACCCGACCCGCGTGACGGTTGGGGACATCTCGCACAGCACGGACGACCCGCTGTCGCGCAGCACGCGCCGCCGCCTCAAGCTCCTCGGCGTGACGACCGGCATCCCCGTGGTGTTTTCGACGGAAAAGCCCGGCCCCGGGAAGGCGACCCTGCTGCCCCTGGCCGAGGAGGAGTTCTCCAAGGGCCAGGTGGGCGAGCTAAGCGTGCTGCCGGACTTCCGCGCGCGCATCCTGCCCGTGCTGGGCACCATGCCCGCCGTCTTCGGCTACACTCTCGCCAACCACGTCATCTGCGCCATCGCCGGCTACCCGCAGGACTACAGTATCGGCGGCAAGGGCCGCGAGAAGCTGTACGACGGCGTCCTGGCCGCCCTGCAAGGCACCCACGAGCGTCTGGCCCGCGCCGAGTACGGGCCCACCCTCGTCGGCCTGCGGTTGCCCGTCAGCAAGGATGATGTCGGCTACCTGGTCGACGAGATTTGGCGCGGCAAGAGCGCCGTCAGCGGTCTCCCCAGTCGCGTCTGCCTGGTGCCATGGGAGCGGCCGCCGCGCGGCTTCGCCCCGGACCCGGAGTGGATGCAGCAGGGCCAGACCTATGTGCCTGTCGAGATGAAGAACCTGGTCTGCATGACCAAGGATGAGGCTACCCGCCATGAGAAGGAGGTTCTGCTCGGGGGCAAGACGCTCGAGGAACTGTACGATGAAAAGACGATCGAGATGGTGCGGAAGCGCCAGAAGGAGATCGATTTCTACGAACAATATCGGTGAGCTCGAGCTTTCATCATTTGGCCACGATTTTGATGCGCTTCCGCTCATGTGTATCACCACGAATTCGATTTTTGTATATGTGTGATAGATTAGATTCTGTATAGCGAGTGGGTAAATATTGATTGATTCTTACATGAGACGATACTGTTATGATCTCAAGTTAGGATTGGCAAGCAATTAGGCTTAATGTGGCCGCGTAGGAAGATAAGTATCATCCAAGCCTGCCCTGTAACCAGGTTCTAGTCTTGCGCCACTCAAGCTCCGTGTGTTTTACAAAGAGGGTCGGATGACTGCCACTGGCATAAGTGAAACATACCTGAAGGCTTCAATGCCCGCTCCATCAGCTCGACTGCCGGAACAGCTCCCGCTGCTTCGAGGCATTGCATTGCCGATGAGTCAATGAGCTCGAGGGCTGTGAGCGCATTTCGATTGACTCCGACGGCCAAAGATGTGCACATCCAGGTGTTTGTGGGGGAGAAGAGCGTGAAGAAGTGATACTCCCGCTAGGCTACCGCTAGAGATGGTGATCCGGATGGTAGAAGACATGACGATGGGTGGGGACTATGTGGTCCTTTGTTCGAGTGCGAGCGTGTGTGGCGGCGATTATGATGCTGACAATGTATGAGGAAGCATGGTCGAGCCCGCTTCCTTTCCCCAACATTTCAAGGGCATCAAGACTGTCATCATTTAGCGCCGTGAGCTTTGATTGTCCAAGAACTTGTAAGACATGGACCTGTGATGCAGGTCAGTGCATTTGTGACTATCTCATCCCGGCGTGAGGCGCGGAATACTCGATTGCAATTAATCGTCCGACTAGTATGATCAATCAAGCATATACTTCATACCACAAAGGTCCTTTAATTGTCTAGGTCAATGCGTGTAAGCCTGATTAAATGATAATTGAGAACAGGCACGCAAAGGATCAAGGCCGTTACAGTAGAAGCCAACATCCGACACAGTCGGTTATGGCGGAGTAAGATATAGATAGCAGCGGACTAGCCGGAAGGGGCATAGACCGGGGTCTGGTCCCTTTGGCGGCAGGACCAAGGCACTAAGCCCCACCAGGAATAGCGGGCCACGGGACCCGCGGTCGAATCCCATTGAAGCAAGGCGTCGCCCGACACTTGTGTTCCACCCATAAACCCGTACGTACCTTTAACTCACTTCCCCAACGAGGCTGACGATCCTCTCCAACCATCAAACCCATACCCACAACCCACCCCCCCTCCTCTCCCCTACATTCTACTCTCTATGACCTCGTAAATTTCTGTCGCATCTTCCCTCCTACCCACTAGACCTGCATTCATGTGTTTTTGTCATAGAAAATCCTTGACTCCCTTGAGATCCAGTGTCTAGAAGCCAGCCCAACCACCCCCGACCGCCGCCCATCACATCACATCGCATCAACCGACCGACCGCCCCATCACCAACCATGACATCCACCCATCACCATCCCCACTACCACCACCACGACACCGAAAGTCTCGACTACTCCTCCGACGGCTCCGACGATGTGCCCTTCCTCCAGAACGCGCTGAATCCCACCCGCCGGGTCAAACGATACACGCGCCCATTGATCGACTACGTGCGCAACGAATGGCAATCCAACACCAAGTACTCGTCGGGGTCGTCGCCCGACCGCTCCGACACGCCCCGATGGGTGCAGATGGTCCTGTCCATCGTCACGGCCCCGCGCTTCCGGCGCTATGCGATCATCTACACCACACTGTTTCTGTCCTGTCTGCTGGGCTGGGAGTTCGTGCTGTCGCCGCGGTTGCAGGAGCACTCGGAGTTGACCAAGTCGCTGGACCCGAACTCGAAGGAGACGGTGGGCGGGTGGTACGGGACCAATGCGCTGCCGAGCTTCGAGGGCGTCCTGCAGCTGAAGACGTTGGATTCGTCGCTGCTGCCGGCGAAGGAGACGCCCAAGGCGGGCGCGGAGAGCACAAGACGGTTGATTGTGGTGGGGGACGTGCATGGGTGCCGGATGGAGTGTGCGTATTGTCCTTCCACAAAACTACTATTCCTGTTGTTTCGAACAGTAGGTGGCTAATCTTTTTCACCGATTCAAACAGTGGAACGCCTCCTCGAAGAAGTCACCTTCAATGACAAGACCGACCACCTCATCTTCACCGGCGACCTGATCAGCAAGGGCCCCGACAGTCCCGGCGTGGTCGACCTGGCCCGGAAACACGCCGCCTCCTGCGTGCGCGGCAACCACGAAGATCGCGTGCTGCTGGTGCGCCAAGAACTCGCGGAGATGGACGCCATGACGGACACGTCGGGCGACGAGTACATGGACGGGCTGTCGACGTCCGGCGCCCAAAGAGATCTCCAAATGGCCCGCAACCTCACCGACGAGCAGGCGGAGTGGCTCGACGCATGTCCCGTGATCCTGAACGTCGGCCACATCCCCACGATGGGCCAGGTCGCCGTGGTGCATGGCGGGCTGGTCCCCGGGGTGGATTACGACAAGCAGGATCCGTTCAGCGTGATGAACATGCTGACGATCGATCTGGACACCCATCTCCCGAGTTCCAGTCGCGACGGGAAGAAGTGGACCAAGGTATGTCCATACATAATCCTCTTTCCCACAACCCCCCCAAGCAGGTGTTGGCTGACCGTTTGAACGCAGTTCTTCAACAAACACCAATCTCTCACCTACAAATCCACCAAGCACGCCGACGCCCAGGCCACCGACTCCCAGGCCACGACCGTCATCTACGGCCACGACTCCAAGTCCTCCCTCAGCATCAACACCTACACCAAGGGTCTGGACTCGGGCTGCGTCAAGGGCGGGGAGCTGACCGCCTTGGTCATCGCCGACGGCGGCGACCAGAAAGTCATCCAGGTCCGGTGTAACAACTATCTGGAGAAGTAGACTGTTCTTGGTGCCAAGTGTCTGTTTCTGGGCGATGATCTTTCTATTTCTTTATATATACATACATGATTCTTCTGCTGGTCTGGAGAGGATGTATCAATGGCTTTCTTTTTTTCCGGGTTGATTGGGTAACTTATGCATATGCATGTGCACGGCGTTCTTCTGAGGTGCGTGCGGTTTTGGATTAGTGGAATTAGCATCGTTGAGTTAAATGGATGTATTGTATACATTTCCCTAACCATTGAGCCCGAGTATCAGACCACAGTCTTCTGGTGGGAGCACCTCTAAGTCGATTTACTACGGTGTATACAAGCTAGGCCTAATCAACAACAGCCAACCCAGAGCAATTGAAATACGTACACAGTTTACAACTAGATTCCCGATGGGGAGCCAAAACAATCCAATAAAAATCTAGATGACGGAAGTAGCTGTCAACCATCTCCTCACCTCTCCCCACCATTATCACCTGCACCGTCACCAACCGTATCTTTCTCAACCTCCTCCCACCCCACCCAGTCCCCCTCCCTCGTCCAAATCCCAGGCTTCGTGAAATCCTCATACCAGAACCCACCCAAGGCATTCAAGCGCACAAACGCGAATCGGAAATATTCATCCTCGCCGTCTGTCTGCCTCGTCCAATTGAACAATCCCTCCCCAGCAGCAGCAACACCAGCAGCAGCGACCGTATCATTACCACCATCAACAACAACATCACCGGCACCGGGAACCAAATCCGACCAAAAGCCTCTGTACCGCTCGACATCGTTGACCAAAACACTCACCCCATCTCCCGCCAACGGCCCGCGGGTGCCGTTCATCAGCGCGTCCCTGCCGACAGCGAAAGCGATGTGGCTGACGCCCAGCACAACCGGCGTCCCGACGACGGGCAGCACACTGCCCAGCTGGGCGCCCTCGAGCAGCGCGGCGCCTGTCTGCAGGATGGAATCGAAGCCCCAGCGCGCGATGCCGTTGACGAACAGCCCAACCAGCAGGCCCTGGTACACGAGACAGGGGCGGGTCTGCAGGGTGGTGCCCGGCAGGAACAGGAGGCTGAGGATGTAGTGGTGGATGCGGAGGTTCATGTGGGGCACGGAGAGGAGCAAGGCGATGCCGGCGACGAAGACACCATACACGGTCAGCATCTGCGGGAGGCGGCCTTCATTCCGGAAGGCCAGGGCCTGGGTGAGGACGATGAGCACCAGGCAGGCGACGATGATGAGCAGCGCGGGGATGGCGCCGGGCTGCTGCTGCAGGTCGTGCGGCGTGAGGCGCGAGATCGGGATCTTGTCAAAGGTGTCGGTGTTGAGGGCGCCGACCCAGCAGGGGCCCAGCCAGAGGACGGTCTGATCCCAGCGCGCGGGGAGGTTGTGGGCCAGTGTGCGCCGCACGGCGAAGTGGTAGATTGCCCAGCCGACGATGGCGCACGGGAGGAAGCGGCCCAGGGCTGTGGAGACGATCTCCAGGTAGTCGGGGGAGTACGGGGGGTCCGAGGAGAGGGCGACTTGGAAGTAGACGATGAAGTAGACGGAGGCGAAGAAGCCCGCGGAGGAGGTGGTGCAGAGGGAAAGGAGGGTGGTGGTGATGAGCGAGAAGGTGAAGAGCGGCCAGCGCTGGTCACGACAGCTGGTTCTTTCGGATGAGTCGGTGTTGAAGGTGAAGGAGAGCGGGAAGGAGGATGCGAAGCCGATGCTCGTGACCCCGTTCTTGGAGACGGATGGGTAGTCGTTATGCTCGCCTGTGCGGCGGAGCACGCCGCAGCCGCCGGTTTGGCTGCTGATTAGGCCGGCGTGAAGTGCCGCAGGGCAGATGGCCGAGTCGCCGCGGTAGATGCCTATGTTTCCAAAGCTAGCTGATATGTCTGCAGTGGAATTGTCCTGGAGGGATCCTCCGATGACTAGCGAACGATAGTTGTACTCTGCAGGTCCGACAACATACGGTTCGAGCAGAATCGCATCCGCACAGCTAGCGGGGCAGCGAAAGGCAAAGCCACCGTTATCAAACGGACGGCAGGCCTCTCCGTCGAGACCACACTCTGTGGAATTATACCTGAGCAAGGGACTGTGAGACTGGGTTATGTGGAGGAAACAAGTAGGGGGGCGTACCATAGTCGTGCATGACACGATAGCTTGACTGGAGTTCCATATCCAGGAATCTCTTGCCCAGTAATCGAATAGTGCAGGATGGTCAAAAACACCACTCCCCACAGGGCGATACCAGCCACCAGAAGCGAGACTCTGGCGCGGGTGCTCGGAAGGAGACGCTCAATGTAACGGCTCGGGGCCGTCTGCCAGCGGGCTAGCCATGGAGTGATTCTGTACTCAACTGGCGGGACTGGACCTTTGATCCAGGTACGGATGCCAGAGAAGGAACATGAGAATTTCCCGAGCTCTTGGGGACGATTCTGACTTGGAATCGGGGATGAAGTTGGTAGCAGAGGCTCCCTCGTGGCGGCATCGGGCCGCAGGTCGGAGCTTTCCCGCCCAATCACAACCAGCTGGCTGCTGTCGGAGTCGTCATGATGCTCAGGCTCCAGCACCGTCAAACGATACTCCTGCGAGCCCTTCTCAAAAGAGGACGATCGCGAACTCGATCCTTCTCCTGATTGCGGCGCTCCTGCCATGGTTGATTCGCCGTCCATGAATGGGATTTCGGGATCTGCGGAAGAGACCCGGACTACGGCGGACGATTGCGGCCTTCGGGCAAAAATGTTTTTTTAAGTGCCTTAGACCAATCTTTATACCATTCTCGCTTATAATCTCTGCAGAGTCTTGATTGACTATATCTACATATTTTCTATTGATATATTTCTTTTATTATCAAAGATGTCTTGGCCGGTAGTTGATCTGGAGCTGTGTTAAACTCAGAGTTCAGAACTATGTCACAGGTAATCTCCCTAGCATTGTCGGGCTACCGATAGATTGCCCACGTACTCCCTATATAATGGTCGTGATATCAACGAATTGAATCCCTTGCATCCTTAGGCATCATTCGTGCATCACTGAATGTTTGTTTGACTTCAATTTCTACTACTGCCTGCTATCCATTTTTTATCATCAAGCGGGTGGTGAAGAAGTACAAGAAGTAGACCGCATGAGCGAAGCATGGGCCATGGAGTAGCGGGTGTAGTGATCGATGGGTTTCTTGATGAATTGCTGCAAGACTGCCATAGAGGTCTTGTTAGCTGGACTACGGAGTCACATTTATTATCTTGACGTCCCTTATACCGCCGAAAATTGCTTCTTTTTGAATATGCATATTATTTGTGACTCGCGTATGTAATATCACTTCACGTTCGGCAAGCGATCCCTACCGTCTCCACTCTAGGCCTGCTCAGACCAAGCCGGAATCTATCCACCCGTGACATCTTGTCCAAGACGAGCGTGTCCACCCGCAGGACATTCTCGCGATAGAGGGTCTGGGATTTCCAATCGTAAGAACAAAGCAGCGCTCGCTGCATACCACCCTCGCTGCCGCAAAGCAGCATTGCCACCGGCGGGCGGCGAGCCCGGAATAAGGTGACGGTCAAGGTATTTGTATCAATCAGGGTAAAGAGCTTGAGCTCTCCATAGCGCGAGGTCTGGGCAGCGGACACAAACTGTGCGGTGGATTCTCTGCTCGTAGGATCTTTCCCCACGCACTCACCATTCTGGGATACATGCAGCGAGAGATCGCTGGAATAGGGACTCCACTTCAGGCGGCCAAGATTGATACCGAAGACCAGCTTCTCGATCTCACCAATTTCCATGTAGCCCTCAAATCCGAAAAGCCATGGCTGTGACGCCCATGTCTTCCCAACATAAAGAATGGAAATGAGGTACGGAGACGCCAACATGACCAAAATGTACAGGCCTGTGAATATCCACCCGATCACAGTGACTGCAAGGTAGGGTCCTTTTGTTCTGGACTGGCTGATTGCTAGCGATATCACACCTATAACGATCCAAGCAGGAGTGCTGCGAAGCAAAAATCTTGCTACAGAACGGGTTGGCGTCTTACGCATCAACATGTTGACCGGCTCGAAGGATGTCCAACGAATCGTAGCACCAAAAGCGCCACTCATAATCACAGTGTCCTTGCCACCGAAGCCGACCACTTGGCAAAGAGGCTCGATGTCCCAAAGATGACTGTCCCAGAAGTCGTTGATCTCATACCAAGGCTGGTCGATGTCTCGGGGTAGCATGCATACCAGCCTCTCGAGCAGCCGATGGCTGTCGTTGGCCCAAGATAATCGACAAAAGGCTTCAAAGGCCGAGTCATTTGGATTGACATTTGGACGACGTCGTAACAAGCCCATCAAGGCGTACGAAAGGTCTCCGTTATAGTACGTCGTGGTTTCGCGATTCGGAAAGCATTGCAAGGCGATGGAGACCAGCTCGAGAGGACTGAGTATAATCGAACCTTCATAATGATCAATAAGTTCTCTTGAGACAGTGGCGTCTCCCCAAGCTTCAATTGCAAAGTTCCGCTTCGACAGAACCCGGAAAAAATCTGGGGGACAGTCACGCCTGTATATGGAGATCGGTTGGCCCGATGGGCTCAGGAGGACCTCAGGGAAGGTCCACAGTCGACTTCCCAAATGACGAAGCATTTCACCTTCGTCTCGGCTGAGACCTGGAGAGGGGCCAATAATCACCACCAAGGCTTGGGCACCCCGGACGACGTCGCTGATCCGGTAGACGTCTTCACATTGGTCGTCATCATTAGGCATGCAGCTGCACGCGATCCAGTAAGCCGCGACCCCTGCCGTCCGGGTCGCATTTTGAGCAATGCGATGAAGTTCATCCATGTCTTCGTTCGACTCATGACTGTACTGCTCAGTGGTATAACATATGAACAGATACTCAAGGCTGCCATACACTGCCTCCCATTCCTCAACGTTGACGATGGCAATTACCCCCTCGTCTTGAAGCACGCACAGCCGTCTTGGACGTAGAGGCCGCTTTGATATCCCGTTTGCAAATTGACGAGGGCCCGGCAGAGTGTTCGTGCTCGATGGCTCGACCTCGTGGAGATTGGCCGAGGCCAGTGAATAGCCCCAGTAGTGATACTTGAACTGTTCGTAATGGCCACTGTTTCTCAACTCTCCACCAAGATCTGTTGGGAGAAATAACTACATGATGTCAGCTATGCCATGCACATGGAGCTCAGAGCCGTCTTACCAGACCAGCGATGGTCACACAGGACGGAAGCCACTCCAAGCACATGTTAATCCTTGACCGCGCGTCCTGGTTATTGTGAAGCTGTCGTCCCAAAAGCGAGTACACAATTCGAAGTATTGTTGGGGTCGACTCCTCAATTTTCTTCCGAGCCCAGGTCGAGTTGGCGGGGCCATGGCATATATCCTCGGACGCTTGGACTACCAGTTCTACTAGTCGCCCATCCGTAGCACTCAAGTATCGGTCATCTTCACGGCCTATCCACACGCGCCCTAAGCTGTCTTTGTGACGGTATCTCGTAATGGATTTGTATTTTCTTCCTGGCAGATAGGTCGCATGGTATGTCTCCGAATAATAGCTGGGGTTCAGGTATATCTCATAGTACCTAGGACTCTTTTTTATCGACATCAGTATAATGCCCGCAATGGGGAGCGAGTAAACTGACCTTTGCGAACCGGTCCGGCTTTTCGAAATCGGTAGCAATACTTCTACTCTATGCGTTGGATAGTTAGTTGCCTCCTTTCTATTCATCAGAACGTTCGAAGTGAACCTTACTACCAAGGAGACTGTGCTGCTTCCATCTGGGCCGTGGTCGTGAATATGCCCAAGTTCAAGATCAGACTGCATTTCTGTAGCAAGAAGAGTTGATCACAATGAGAGGACATGGAATAGGAGCCTTCCAGAAACTCGTGCCAAAGCTTCGGAGAGGGAGAGTATTATGGTCATCAGCCGTATGCCTGCGGTTCAGCTGAACCATGGAGGCGGCGGCTATGTCAGCCAGGACGCAAGGCTGAGAATCACCTCGTGACGTCTCAGCCGTGAGGAGGTCAGAGATTAGTGCGTTGGGATCAGAACATTAATCATGTGTGATAATACTCGGTGTCAGACTACTTATTCTGATCCTGGATCAGTTTCTCTGAACTAGTGCCAATTATCTTAACTACTTTGTAGGGATATTTTTATATATGCTGTTTAAAAAAGGACATCACATCACATGCAGAGCTGATTCACTACCAGAAATAGTAACCAATCATGTGTACCTATAGTAAGATTATACAGTGTCAGCCTGATTTCTCTGAATCCCACTGAACTGTTTCTTCAGCCCCGGTCGGGTCTATCCTGACCCCGTTGCGCGTGGGTGTCCCCCTCGTTACCGTCTCTTAACCGCGGGGAGGATTCAACATCAAGCAGTCAATATGTCCTCTATCTTTCAAGATCGGTCGCTTTTGGATCCTTTCAAGCGCGAAGCTTTCGGCCAACCCACGCTTTTGACCCCCCACACGTTCACAGTGGACGTACTAGATTGGGTCCAGGCGCCTGATGGTAACAGAGATCGTCCCAGATTCGCAATCAGCAGATTGTAGCTAACAGGCCCCTCAGGTCGTTACCAATTGATTCCGCGAAAGGTCACCGTGCCTGAACTAGAGCAGTTGCCTGTGCCTGTACTGCGAATTATGTTGGTTCATCCACTAAATGGGATCGCTTGCGACTAATATACCATAAAGCTTCTCGCCCCTGGACTTGCCAAGCAGTGCCACTGCTGAAGGACTTCTCTGGCTCTTTGATCACTATGCTGCGCCGTCTGCATTCCTTGCGGGCAGATTGCGGTCGGTAACGCACTCGTTCGGGGCTTTGAACTCCATAAATGGCTATAATTGTATGTGAAGTACTATCTTCGATGTGTATGCTGATCAATAACTTGCACTTCATATTAAGGCTCCTGGTTCCACTACTTGTGCAAGAACATCACGGTGACTCATGATGCTCCTGGCAACGCGCGGATATCCGATCCCAGGCCGGGAGCACCACAGATGCAGCACGGCGACTCGACGTGGATACGGTCAGGGTACTTTCTGCGATGGGCAGTGAGTTCGAACGGTGGTCCAGAAGTAACACTTCTCTGTTTCGAAGCGTCGAAATTTCTCAAGGAACGTCTCAAAGATATTTCACCATCGTCAATACCAACCAACGTCGTCCGTGACCCGTACAGTCTCTTTGCCATCATCTTAGAGGAGCTGTCTTTGCAAATGGACAATACGGTTTGGGACGTGATGGATGTTTTTCGCCAGATCGAACTGGTATTCCGCGCCGCCCGCCAAGTGTACCTGGGTAGTTGCTGACCTTCCCAGAACACCTTGACCACGATGAAGGATCGGGAGTCCTTCACTGGGCTACACAATGTTTCAAAGCATATCCTGTTTCTCCAGGAGAGCGCCGAAGCTACAATGCTTACTTTGAAAAAGTTATCCTGGCACCATCAACGAATCCTGGAGGACGTCCCCGACGGGGACCGCCATGCCACTGAAATGGCACAGGGAATGCTGACGCACGCGGAGACTCAGTTCCAGTCCATTAGCCTGCGTCTGAAGGGTCTTGGGAAACGGATGGACAACGTCATTGCATTAGTATGCTCTATCCTCTTCCATGAGTACCGACAAGACGCATGGAGACACTAATACGTACTTCGCACGGTAGTCCTTCCATCTCGTCACGCAAGACGGCAATCGAATTATGCAGGCAGATAGCAGTTCTATGGCCACCATTGCGTTCGTCACACTTGTATTTCTGCCGGTGTCGACAGTATCAGTGAGCTCTATCTTTCCCTTTGGTGGCTATGGAAACTTATTGCTAACCCTCTAGACTATATTTGGAAATCAATTCTTCAATTTCGACCCTGTGACCATCCGTACATCGCAAAGCTTCTGGATCTTCTGGGTAGTGTCCATCCCGCTGACCCTTCTGGTTCTTCTCATATGGCGTGTTTTCACTAAGGGCTTGCCGCCCGGATTGTACGATGCATTCAATTTGAGGAGGGGAAGATGGAGTCCGCAATAGCCATGTTTGACCTGAAGGCTCTCTTAATCGAACTACCAATGTATAGGAACACAGTCAATTCCTGGATCAAAATACCAAGCCCATGATATCATTCTCTTCGATTACTGCAATGTTATAAACTCAACTGCCACACCTTCACATTCCTTCACATTATTGCTACATGAGATTCAAAATTAAACAGACCAGAACAACTAGACAGCTTCTGCCTAGAGCATTCCCTCATTAGAGGCCGTAAGTATGTGCGCTCGCTCATCGTCCGCAGAGGATGGGCTGCGTAGGCCATAGACCCCTAATCTATGCTGCTGCATGCAACAATGGACAATGCCTATGCATTGCCCCATTGTGCAGATAGCCGTCACTATTTCTTGGATCGATATGATTTTTTCCTGCGTGCTTGATTTCATATTATCCATAACGAGAAGAAATAGACTGTAGGTAAAAAGGAAGAACCCCCCAACAGCGAGAGAGGGAGCTCCATTCTGTTTGTCCGTCAGCATCAGCACCTCAACGATGCAACTAGCAAGCCATGGAGAGCAACGCACCATAGAAGAACATTTGGCGTTTTTCGATTCGCGGATAACTGTGAATATTTTGAACATGATATCTAGGGATGCGATTAAAATGAGGCCGTCGCACGCAAGTTGGAGCCGTTGAGTCAAATTCCAATCATAGTCTTCGTCGGATCCAAAACTTGACATTGCCTGGGTGGTCAAATACGCGGTAGAAATAAAAATCAGGAGCACCAAAGTACTGCCGTGTACTTTTGACGGAAGAATCGTCTTTGTGGTCTCGTTTCGATTCTGCGCCTTGTAGGCATGTATAAGCCGATGAAATATACTCAGGATAAGGATACTCTGCACATATTCGCAGATTTGAGTGACGAAAAATATGGCGCTGCTTGCTGATTTTCCTCTAAAAATCCTGTATTGCCAATATGTCATAGATGCTGTATATCTAGAATGGATTGTCAGCCAAGGACATTCCTGACCGGTATATGAAATTCACCACGTGGGTCGATACATTAATTGACTTAAAAGGAAGGTGAAAAACGATTTGAACGGTATTGCTTTTGGATTATGCTTTGGCCGTCTCATCAGACATGAACCGAAAAGAGATCCCAGAGAAACAATTCCAGCTATCATAGAAAGAACCAAAGAGACAATGTTTCGCGCGAGCATATTGTGTGGAAGGCTGAGGGGCCGAAGAAGTGCACGCTGTTTTATGGAGCTTTAAGGAGAAGCAACCCGTTTAAGCTCTCCACCGAAATAATTTGGAAGAGGAGAATTCGACTGAATATATTCGATTCCCTTGTCTCAGGGAAGAACGACGCAAGGCTGACAATGCTGCAGTATGAATGGCTGGCCCGGCGTTAGTGTGAGGCTGACCTTCTGACCAAGGTTGCCATTTTCAACCAAGCAGCCGCCATCCTCTGCCTGATGCCTTAAGATCTTGTCTTCCTGCTCCTTTTCTTTCTCTGTCTATTCTCAGTTACGTCCTCCTCCCTCAGTCTAAGAATCATTACTACTGATCCCTACAACATCTCATCTGGCTAACTATAATGGCTTCACACCAGGTAAGCCCGTCTTTCGCCTAGTTTCACATCATTCCTTGTCTAAAAAAGTTCATGAAGGATCCTCAGCCTAAGCGGCACGGAGGGGGATACGTCCCCGTGAGCGCCAAATATCAGCCTCGATATCAGTCCCGCACCGGTGAAAACACCGGCAATTCGAATGAATCATCGTCTCAGCATTCCGGCGTTTCTGAACGACCTAGGACCTTTCCCATCCAGCGTGGTAGTCATGGAGGAAGCTATGTCCCTGGGAAGGGTAAAGAGACCCCGTGAACTAGGTCATAGAGCTACGAAAACATCGCGGGGCAAAACTCAAGTCAAGTGTCGTTAGCTCTGCGAGACTACCATGAGATACAAGTGAACATGGCTCAGATGGGATATATCTCAATCAGAATTTAAATTGCTTATTGTGAAAACAACACCGTCTCCGCATTGCAAGAGGGACCGATTGATCTTTGATTCGGTCAGTCTGCCTGGTCGGACCACCTATCACACAACCAGGTATCCTATTTGACATGAATTATAAGTCAGTCACTCAATTTGCTTCTGTAGATACCATGCAAGGGTGATGAAGTGCAGCTACGGGGATGCCAGACTCTTCATTAGGCTTGGGCGGCTTGGGTTTGCCCTAAGACGGTAACCGGCATGCAGAGAGATGCTCCGAGAGCAAGACAAGCTATGACGGAGGAATGTAGAGAAGTGTACGGGTATTCCATATGTTGCCCAGAAGAAGATTCAGTAAGTCAGCTGATAGACACTGTCTCTGAGGCATCGAGTGGGCCTATCCAATCAAGTCCCATGATTCCAAGCACAGAACCGCAGAACATCGTAATTATCTTAATGTACGTCTTTATTGACAGAGTACGGAGAGTAGCGCGCATACCGCCCTGGTATAATACAGTCCCACGACTTGTATTCCGAGCAAGGCTTTGCGATTGCCATGGGATGTCAGGCGAACTCGGACAGCCTTGGGCAATGCAGGGTGGTTGATTCGTCGCTCGCCCTTCTGAATGCATTTCACTTAAACCCCGCCTAGCCTAAGGTTCCCTATTCCGAATCCCTGTTTTGGAACTCTAGCCTAGCCTAACCTCAGGTTACCGGTTCCTACCCTGATTCCGCTCCGACACGGGTTCACAATAAGATTCCCAGTTTTCCCATCTCGGCTGGAAATTTGAGCGCGTTGGCCCTCACATGGAGCCGGATAAGATTCTCACGATTCGGAGTGGTGGATGTATACTCGTCTCATTTGGGACACCCAAAGCCGCGCTGCGGCATTCTTCCAGCAACTTTGCTTAATTAGAGAATCGGGGACGCTCAGGGAGTTCACTCTGACACCGTAGTAATCGAAATCCCAAAGCGTAACCACCAATCCTTGTGAACTAGAACTAGTTTAATGCACCAATACTGCAGTGTGTCTGAATGAAGCCGAAGACCTTGCGTTTTTGCAGGCGAGGCTGCAGATTCGCTCCGGAGGTGGGCCAAACTCCAGAGACTGATTCGGCAGCGACGCCGTGCTGTTCACTTTTTACAAGTCGGGCACACCTGCACGCGGAATTTGGTGCCATACATTAGATAGCGGTGCCCTGACTGGCAAGACGCTTTGAATCATTGCATATCCCCGTGCTTGCTTTTTATCTCGGGAGTTGTCATTGGGTAGCTTCATGGTTTCATCCTGGCCGTACTGCAGGCAAGGCTCTCAATCTCCTCAATCACACGGAGGCTCAAGCCTCGACGTCGCCCCTCAATGACCCATTGAGAGAAAAGTACCTTGGCGATTAAGTAGCTGACCACGAGCAGAATTCATCCTGTTGGATATCCATGCTCACCCGCTTTTTTTGTTGTTGATTCGTTGGAACTTAGCGCCCTCGCCGCTTTGTCTTCACCCTGAAATCTGCTGAGAGACTCACTCCAGCCAGGGTCAGCTGGGCCTTTGCCCTCCTCTTCTTCCTGCGTGGTCCCTGACCACCACCTCTTCCGACCAGCCAACCAAACATCCTCTTGAGATCTAGATGAATCGAATACATCCTTTCCTCCCTATATTTTTACAAAATTCGCTAGAAGGCAAACAACCCCACCTAGTACCCCGCCATTCCAATTTTCATCGCTGACACGTTCTTACAAGAGTTTGCTTCAATCCTATCAACCGAGTTTTGTCAGATGCCACAGTATCTGCCCTTGTTTCTATATCCTGTTTACCATAATCATAACTCATTTTTACAATATATACCAAGTTAAACCTATGTTCATTTTCACCTTTCATCACCCGTACTGGATCTCACACAACATTTGGCCTTATTTGAGAGAGAAAAAAATGGCTTTTCGCTGTCTTGCAATTCTTTCCGTTTAACCTACTTTGTTGAAGATGATATATTATCGCAGTCCCTATACATATATACCCAGAGTTGGGAGTACCAAAGTGTAGACCTTGATTTATATAGCGTCCTTGTGTAAATTCCATGGCCCAGAAGCTATCCGATATTCGGCATCCCACCGACTTACCATTCTTTTGAGGTCACATGACTTCATCACCCCCACGTCGAAGGGGTGTAATTTTCCGAAAAGATGTGCGCAAATGAACATGTAAGAAGAAAATTCGACAGCTGTGTCAACAATTTGAAGCCTCAGAGGTAAGGTGCTGGAGCGTATCTCGATATTTCTTGGTGGTTGGAACTATCTGAGATAATCAACATGTCGCGCTGCATCACGTGGCCAGATTACTCAGCCACGCGCACAAGTTGCTTTATACTCTGGATCATTATGTGGGAAGTTGAACAAGATATCTGACTGATTGAAATATTCCTATCTCCTGTCCAGCATTAATTTTGACTAGCAGCTTCTATACATTCAGATAATTCTCTATCCCTTTAAGAACACAACATGCCTATTTTGAATCTTACCATATTTTATAATCTTAAACAGCAGTCTGCGACTCGGTCGGTGAGGAGAATCCTGCTGACACTGAACCTCGGACCCCAGGATCAAAATGTGAAACACCTCTCTAGGTGAAACCTATCCCTACAGCATAGACATTCCTTCAGTTGAGAAATAGCATCATATTAGAACAATATCATAGCAAATCACAAAGCAAACAACGAAGGCCATATCAGCATCCCTTCATCAAGCATTAGCACGCCAACCGGGTATCAGAATTTTAGTTAAAAGAAATCTCATTAAGTCGTGCCGTGACAATGCGTGCCACATCATAATGGGTGAACATTGATCGACGACATCGTGCATGATTAGTGCACGACAAGCATGGAAGGATTAGTCCGTCTGGTCGCACAGATGAACAGCGCGGTCAACTAACTGTCCATCTAGACAGCAGAGCGGCCAAAGCGGCGACGGTTGCTGTTTTATGTCAATAATGTGTCACACAAAACCACACAAAGGGTCAGGGCACCTACTTTCGGGGAGCAGACGAGTCACGGACACGGAAGGTAAACCAGATGCCCTGCAAGACATGTCAGTATTGGACTATAGACTTGAATTGGGGTCACGAAATCATACCAGAAGCGCCGACGCCAGCCAGACGATGGCAGAGATGAAACTGAACGCTTCGGCCGCCTTCCACCGGCCACACGAGTTGTTGTGGATGATGCCGCCCCAGTACCAGATAGATCCGCAGTTCAGCTTGTGAATTGCATCGACCAATATTCCGAACGCAGCGAACCAGGCGAAGGAGATGATGACATCGACTGTGTAACGTCAGTATAAGTGATACGCAACGCTAAGATTGAGGGACGCAAGGAGGCGGCACAACACGTACATGGCCACGAGAAGAAGCCCGATGAGAACGGGATCAGCCATATCAGGCCCAGCAGTATCGACAAGCCGGCTATGACTTCGGTATAGATCCACCTGGCGACCGGCCAGGCATCGCCATCATACTGGTGCAGGTAGTGTCCGATGATACCGGCAAACACCTATGAATCATGACTCGTTAGCTTCTGTTTGGGGGTGGGGGGCAGGCATGCAGTTGATCAGGGGTCGCACATACTGCAGCGCAAATGACTTCCACCACACGGAAGACGATGGAAATGAGACGTGAGATGACGGGCATGATGAGTCCCTGGTAACTCGGTTACAGTAGTGTGAGGTAGAGTGTGCTGCAGGTCGAGATTAGCGCGGGCGAAAACGCAGGCTTGTTGACTTGAACAGTACAGTGACTGTAAGATTAGAGTAGAGGAAGATAGAGGAAGTGAGTGGTAAGCGAACTATCCTGCAGATAGAAGGAACGATGGAGGGAAGTAAAGGTGAAGCGGACTCGGGGGTTATATAGGTATGTTTCAGACCCTCAATGAGTCTATTTCCCTCACACAGCACATCGACTCGAACGTCATCGTACGTAGCCAGTATTCAATTCAAGCAATTGCGAATAACATGACATCGTCTGCCCAAGCCCCAAGAAATAGGGCGGGAAGCAAAAGGGCGGGAAGGAAATTGATTGATCGCCCATCAGGTGAGTTTGAGTGGCTTGACTCCTAACCAATCCTCGGGAAAGCTACAAGTAGGGTACCTGGAAAGCTACCATTGACAATATGACCACCGATGTACTGCATGTACACTACTCTAATCCCCTGGCTACAGGGTATTATAATCCAGAACATTCGCACACGCCTTCCTAAATGAAAAAAAAGATTGCCAGGCAGCCGAGTTTACAATACAGCAGCTTGATACAACATCAGCATCATCACATTCACATTCCAAGCCACACCCTCTGCAGCAAGGGGATTCTGGCAGCCGAACAGAGCCCACTTAAGGCTGAAGGATTTCCCCACCTTGGATGCATGTTATCCCTTTCTCGTATCCACTTGACCCGAGGAAGGCCTGCGGTAGCGTTCCCACCTCTAGGGCGATCGTTGAAAAACTGTTTGAGTCTGAGTAGGTTATTTCCTCTCATGTTCATGCAGACCAGCAGCACAGCACCGATACAAACGTAATAATACTCGCAGTGATGAGGAAAAAGGGGGAACGGGCTGTGGCAGCACCGATGACGTCATGGTATAATTCGTGGCAGCCCCGATTCGCATCTGCAAATTGGTGTAACTTCTTAAAACCTGCTGTTAAGTGTTCCCTACCTGAAGAATCACCATTGTCCTCTTTATCCTAAGTGCCTTGAGCCGACCATGGCTCCAGAATAAACTATCGCAGATCGTCGGTCAATAAAGCTCCCACCGCTCGAACTTCCCGCGAATCGAGAACAATGACAACCAATTCACCAATTATCGGCTCCGGCTGATTTTTTGGAAATTGGCCTATTAGACTATTGAACCTGCCTATATTCAAGAAAACAATTACAGTACACGCGCTAGCCAGCAGTAACGTTAAATAACAGATCGCAAAGCGGCTCCGCACTATGATTATACAACAATTGGATATCGTTTGCAACCAACACAGAACATAAAGAACATCCGCAGCCGAAGGGATTAATAATCGATAGTAAAAGTCGCATGAAACTCGGCTCTTTTTTTGTCGTCATCAAGTCCGTTTCCGATCCTCCAAAAACCACTCCATGACCGTGCGGAAAACTCCCTTGGCACCACTCTCGATCACATCTCCATGACACGGGATCAAGCGGTTGAAGTCCCACTTATCGATTCTCTGGATCGACTCCGTAAAGCCCTTACGATCCGAGCTGGACAGCGCATACCAGACAAATCTCTTCTGCCAGGTGGCAGGCGCATTCGCGTTCAAGAGTGGACTGATGATCTTCGTCAAGAGGCCCGACGTGGCGCTCTCCCCGGTCTTCGAGTACTGTTCGCGCGCGGGGAGATTGAAGAGCAAGTCGGCCTCGATGAGGGTGCGGGAGGGCTTGTGGAAGAACACCAGCTCTCGCGACTGGTGGGCGTGGACATATTCGGTTTCGAACTCTGCATCGAACTCCTCCGAGATCTTCTGCGTTCCGACCAGTTCCTTGCGGAAGACATGACGGAAGGGGGTGGTGTCTTTGGTCCTGGGGTTGGATTGGCGCTTCTCCCAGAGTCCCTCGGGAGCGATGATCTCGGCATCTGGATAGGCCTCTTTCCACGCAGTCAGGTGGATATGGTGCTCGAGATCCAGAGCGGCGATGTACTTGACGCTGCCTCCGAGACTGTTGACCGTGTCGCGAACCTCTTGGGTCAGACTGACCGGAGAGAACACGGCCACAGAGCCGGAAGCCATCTTGACTAGATTCCATTCATACAGAGTCAGCACGAGCACTGTGTCGGGCTCCAGGTATTGAAGACCCTTGCAACATCATAAGAGGAATGCACACCCAAGGTACCGCGGCCTCCGAACTTCAAGTGACCGAACCGCGCAAACGGCAAGCTCATAGTGATTACATTGGAAGTCACATTGCGAATGACCATCACATCGGCCGGGTTCTTCGGGAAAAGAGGAGCCATGCTGCAAGCTTTCGAGAGCGTCTCTGGTAAAATGTAAAGTGCTTGTAAAAAGGGTTGGAGAGGCGTAGATCTCAATCAGAAGTGGTTTGGTCGCGTCCACTGCCACCCCAAGGAGAATAAATAGAGTAAATTTTCCACGGGTCTTTCGCACGAGGGCACAGAAAAGGGGTGGGCAGATCGTGAAAAGGCTTGCAGGGAGGATGCCTGACAACGCAGCTGCTAAAACTAGATCAGCTTTTCCTTTGATGAAACGGCGGGCGCATGCTCGTGATTGCAAGTGCTGTGACGTCATTGCCAGCCCGGCCGCAATCGGCCAACTGCCACTGCCACCATGGGCCGGGGCTAGACTGACTTAATTGCTAAACATTGACAGCATGAATTATGGAATTCCAAATTATTTACAGCTAGCCTTGGTATATCGCTAAACCAAACATTGACAGCTATAATTATTTGATTAGCAAGCTCCAACGGCTAGACTTATTCAATTACAAAACATCGACGGCTAGGCGTCGTCAATTACTAAGCATCACATCAAACAGGCGCCAACCACATGGCATGGTACTCGTTTATTCGGCAAGGGCCTGGCTCTGTGCAGTTGTAGGTGGAGATGCTGCGATTAAGGTTGACCTAGCTGCATCCTGTCTCGCTTCTTTGGCGGTTTCTACATAACATTCAGGGGCTCGACCTCTTGAATAATAAAGTCCTGCCATTCACAATGCTCCTTGCTATGGGTGCTATTGTGTCTGTAATTACTCAGATTCGTAAATACCCTTTTAGATACGGATGGGAAATATCTACATCGAATAAAGCCCCCGAGAATGTACAAAACATGACATCGAAATCGCGGCCAAATTTCCTTGTCAACAAATGGGTATCCTCACCTGCATGAAACGCGACCATACGCCTGCTACATAGCTAAGAAAAAGTCATCATCACAGGCCAGTCGGCCCCAGGCGTTCGAAACACGATCATCGCCAGGTCTGCGCCGTTGGCTGGGCTTCTTCCGCGCGATGAGGAATGATACATTCATCAATCCCATAGGCCTCGATCAGATCCTGCCAGGTTTCAAAGTCCAGAGTGAAGATAGCCTGGTGCTTCTGGACTCCCTTCTTCAGAGCTTCGCTGGGTGCATGAGGCTTCGCAGCGTCTAGAACATGCAAGGTCAATACCGGAATCTGCAGATGGGTCAGGTAGCAAACTTACGTAACGTCGGCAATCCTCTACTGTCCACCGAGATACCAATTAACCCATCACGAACCAGGAAACTCACGTAAAACAGGTTCTCCACGCTCTGTCCAAAGGACCTCGGGTTGATGCAGAAGCGGAACAGCGGGACACCACCATCATCAGCTACATTGTTCTCCGCCATCACTTTCTGCAGCTGCTCATCGGAAGGCTCCGCTTGGAGCGCCGACAGCTGCCTTTCGACAGTGTCTTGGCCATGGTTTTGTGTCTTCGCCAGTAGACCATTGATACTGCCACACATGGTGGTCAAATTAGACGTTTCCTGCCGGTCAAGGTCTTTGTCTTGGAGATCCTGCGGCGCGACCGCCCGACTGGGGTCAATCCGTTCCCTGACCCTCCGAACGGCCTGCTGACGGGTTCGTTTCTGTACCGAGAGCGGGCCCAGAAGGAATCCAGGGACCGAGGGCCGGGCATTGCTGCAGAAGGACGCAGCCCGCCCCAGCCAGTCCCAGTTCAAGGCATCTCCATTATCTTCGCCCTCATCATCTGCTGGTCGGGCAGCGCGGCGACGTTGGGTGCTGCTGGGAACCGTGCTTTGAGAGTCTGCGGGGGCCTGGCGCATGAAAGTGATACACTTGGAGACAAATTCGTCGACGTCAATGCCTGCACTGGCGTCGCCCAGAACTAATTGTGCGGTCTTCTTGTATCCTAGGTCCGCCGCGCTGACCAATAGCCGAGAGTCGATGGTTGCATCCGAGGTTTGCTTGACGCCCTGAAACAACTCGTTGGCCTTTTCTATCGTGGACTTAATACCACTGTTTCCAGCCCGCATAAACTCACTGCGGGAGTCTGCAGCGGGTATACGTTAGAGAAAAAGCAATTCCAAATTGATGATGGAGGAGTAGCCCACCGTTGAGGTCCCGCGTCAGGTCTCTCAGGCCCTTTCTGATTCTCCGTCGTTCGGCTTCATCTTGATCCGGGTCGTAATAGTCCTTATCGCGGGCGGGCTGCGATCGCGATCCTTGAGACTGGCTTCCCTGTGAGTTGGTGCCCCGTGTGGACAGTCGCTGCCGCTTCCTCGAGGCGCTGCTGGGCATGGCTTGGATTTGAACACGCTTGCTGTTACCTTTTGATGTTGAATGGTTTTCCTTGTCGGAGGATGGTCCAGGTGAAACTGCCTGAGTTGAGGTTCGGGTGGGAGAAGGACGTCGTGCCATCTCTTGGAGGGCAGAGACTATGCGACAAACGAGGCGCGCTGAGGGGAAGACAAAGAAACGCGAGCAGCCGCCAGTCAGCCTACTGAGTAGTTGGTGGGAGGGGAGGATCAAGGCGCAGGAAGGAAATGAGGAAAGAAAACAAAGGACTAAGGGTGTCTAGGTTTCAGTTGGCGCCAGGTGAGATCGTAGCACCACCTTTCGTGCAAAGTCAACTATCCAGGCTTCGATACACTTTTAGATGCAAATATTCGTTCTCATTAATCTTCCCATGAGCCTTATCTAAACTAATCCGTTGTGGTGCACGCGCCGAGCGCGTTAATCATGTGACCCCCGCGTCAGTCCCGGCAGCCCACAAGTAACTGTGGGCCGTCCCAGCCTATCATCGCCTCATCTGTTCGGAGCTGCGGGAATGATGAATGTCTCCAACAATTCAACTTTCCCCCCGATAAGTTACCGCATACAGCACCACACCTATCATCATCGTGAGATAGTAACAAGCTCACCATGACGATTACTGGCGGGTGAATTGACTTGATACTGTCTGGCTTCTGAGTATCCGAACTCTCAGGATGGAGGCCTTTACCTTCGCCGTCTCCACCCAGGTGGACTTTCCCATCCACGTCAAGGTGTAAGTGGGCACTGCCTGTCCGATACCTGGCCGCTGTGATCCGCTAATAAACTCCAACTTTCAAGTGGCTCTCTAGAGGGAAAGCAGAAGGAAATCTCCTTTTCCGTCCTCCTCCAACGGCCGGATCTCCGTCACCTTGGCTCCGCTCAAAACCCTCACTCGGATCTGTTCGTCACCGTGCAATTATGGTCCGAATCCAAACCGCTGGGAGTACCTCTACAGACCCAATACAAGGCGTTCAAATCCGCGAGGTCATGGAATGAGTGGCTGCAAATGCCCGTCTCAATCAAAGACGCTCCCCTGAAGAGTCAGTTAGCTATCACGGTCTGGGACTTATCACCGTTCGGCGGCGAGGGAGCTCATGGCCATTACGTACCATTCGGTGGAACAACAATCCCACTCTTCGACGCGGACGGGAAGTTGAAGATGGGCAGGCAGAAATGCAAGATATACCGGCATCGAGCTGCGGATGGGTTCTCTTCGACCACCACCCCATCTACTCCACCCCCCAAGCGTCGGAAAGCAAACGCTCCTGACCCACTGGGTCCGTCGTTGGAAGAAATGGAGCTGGAAAGAGTTGAGGTGCTGATTAAGAAGCATGAGATGGGGGAGCTGCCGCGTATCGACTGGATGGACCAGATGGTCTTCCGACAATTGGAGAGATTGAAGCTCAATGCTGAGGAGGCCGCGAGGAAACGGGCCATACGCATGAAGGCCATCAAACACAAAAGCTCCGACGGCCGGATAGAGGATGGTGACGATTCCGACGAAGATAAGGTGGACGATGAGAATTTTACCCTCTACGTCGAATTTCCCCGATTCGACCATCCCATCGTTTGGGCTGACCACGAGTATCCCGCCCCGCCAATCTCGACATATCCCCCAAATGCGCCCATGAACACGAGTGCTCCGCTCAAACCCCTTCCAGAAGTCCGATTTGGCCCCGGTATTGAGGGTGCCGATGGCAGTGGTGTGATCAGGATATACGACCCCGAAGTCGGACAGACAGGAAATCCATGTGAGGACAAGCACCGAAGACTGATTCGGAGCACCCGTACGGGCATTATGGATCGGGATTTGAAGCCAAACCCTAAGATTCGCGACGAACTCAATGTGATTCTATCATACGAGCCCACTCAGGATTTAACAGCAGAGGAGAAGGACCTTGTATGGCGTTTTAGATACTACCTGACGCGCGAAAAGAGGGCCCTCACTAAGTTTGTCAAGTCTGTAAACTGGCGTGACGTTGGCGAAGCACATCAGGCAGTGGAAATTCTGCCGAAATGGACGGAAATCGATGTGGACGACGCACTCGAACTACTAGGGCCGACTTTTGACAACGCCGCGGTCCGTTCATATGCGGTGGAGAGACTCCGCAAATCTGACGACGAGGAACTGCTACTCTATCTGCTGCAACTAGTGCAGGCACTCAAATACGAAGAAAATCCAGAGGGCGCCGCAGGGGACGCTGCTCATGACTCGTCGCTAGCTAACTTCCTCGTCACGCGCGCCGCAAACAATTTCAAATTAGGCAGCTATCTACACTGGTACCTGATGGTCGAATGCGACGACACTGGGCCGGGTACATTGTCCGCGCAACGCAGACTCTTCGCGAGGGTGGAATATTATTTCATGACAGAATTGGAGCAGATACAACCGGAGCATCGTAAGACACTGCTACGGCAGGGCGAGCTCGTGGTCATACTCACCAAGATCGCGAAAGACGTCCGCTTCTCCCGCGATAACCGCATCCTCAAAATCGAGAAGCTAAAGAAATTCCTCAAAGACCCGAAACACGAACTGCTCCAGATCGATCCCCCATTGCCACTGCCCCTAGACCCGGAGATCATGGTGACCGGCTGCCACCCGGACGAAGCCAACGTCTTCAAATCCTCCCTCTCGCCGCTGCAGATTGTCTTCAAGACCGCGGACGGCCGCAAATACCCTATATTGTTCAAGGTCGGCGACGACCTCCGACAAGACCAGCTGGTCATTCAGATCATCATCCTCATGGACCGCCTCCTCCAGAAAGAGAACCTCGACCTCAAACTCACCCCCTACCGCATCCTAGCCACCAACGCCACCGCGGGCGCCGTGCAGTTCATCCCCTCGGCCTCCCTATCCGCCATTTCGGCCAAATACAAATCCGTGCTCGCCTACCTCAAGGAGAACAACCCGGACGACACCGAGCCCCTCGGCGTCCGCAAGGAGACCATGGACACCTACATCAAGTCCTGCGCGGGGTACTGCGTCATCACCTACCTCCTCGGCGTCGGCGACCGCCACCTGGAGAACCTGCTCCTCACCCCGGACGGCCACTTCTTCCACGCCGACTTCGGCTTCATCCTCGGCCGCGACCCCAAACCGTTCGCCCCGATGATGAAGCTCTGCAAGGAGATGGTCGAGGGCATGGGCGGCACCACCTCCCCCCTGTACCTCCAGTTCAAGCAGTACTGCTTCACCGCCTACACCACGCTCCGCAAGTCCGCCAACCTGATCCTGAACCTGTTCAGTCTGATGGTCGACGCCAACATCCCGGACATCCGCGTCGAGCCGGACAAGGCCGTCCTCAAGGTCAAGGAGCGTTTTCACCTGGAAATGACCGAGGAAGAGGCCATCCGGCACTTCGAGCAGCTCATCGGGGACAGCGTGAACGCCATCTTCGGGGTGGTCATCGATCGGTTGCATGAGTTTGTGCAGGGGTGGAGGGCTTGATTCGGCTCCTTTTTTATTGATGGATTCTTTCTATAGCGATGTTTACAAATGTTCCGAGTCATTGGGCAATTCTTAGAATAGGCATGTAGGAGTCAGGCGCTCTCCAGATGGGACGGATGGGCGCAGATTTACTTTTTTCCCCCTTGCTTTCCCTATCCTTCAAATGCCTCTACATAGACATGAAACAACGGGCGGTCAATACCCTCTGTTCAGTTTCGCCTTTTCACGATTTTCACAGAGAGACAAGAATCCTTACCGTGCTCCTGGAATCATAATCACATAGATAGACACAAGTCTATTCACCTGGACATTGCTTTTTTTTGCTGTATCTAATCCGAAGTGACGTCGTAGAATATCACAACCATTAAGATACTCCCGCGCAAGAAAGTTTCTTCACCTAGAGCACGCTTCTAATATCTAGAAACCCCTAACTCAACAGATCAACCCCGCCTCCGCTCCCCCTCCTCCTCATCCGGCCGCCGCCCCCAACCCTCGAGCTCAAGCCACTCCCGCCCTTCCTCATCGAGCTCCCGAGGATCTAATTCCTCGAACCCCTCCTTCAAGTGCGACGACCGACTCCCTAGATCCCCGCCATCCTTGGTATACCTCCTCCCCTCCACAAAAAGACCGCCACTGTCGGAACTCACCCCGGAAGACCCCTGGCCCGCCTCCGTCACAGCAGGTATAATGGTCTCATCATCGGGTCCCGAAGACTCTTGTCCCGGGGCCCTGTCCTTCCTCCCCGCTTGCGCTTGCGCTTCAGCTTCAGCATCTTCGTCGTCCTCCGGTGTCCCCTCCTTGCATGCCCACGCGTCCACGAAGCGAAGGACCTCGCGGGGCCACCATCGCTTCATGATCAGGAGGCGGAAGGGGACGAGGAGGACGATCAGCACGGGGAAGGCGGGGGCGCCGCGCGTGAGCGTGAGGATGAAGATGGCGACGGTGATGATGATTTGGAGCAGGGTATAGAGGTGGATGGGGATGTAGGAGGGGGTATTGAGGGCATCTTCTTCTTGAGTGGTTGGTTCAGGGTGATTGCTGGTCTGGGTGTTTGTGGTGGAAGCCGTTGTGGCGAGGGAGGCAGGGAGGGGGGGAAGTTCGGAGGGTGGGGTGAGGAGGTAGAATGTTCGATAGAGGATTGGACTAGTTAGTAGATTTAGTGGGTCAGCTAATAACAATTTCTAGGGGTTGAGATTGGGGTGAAGGGGAGAGTTGGTGTAGGCTTACTTCACTGAGAGACTTTGCTCGCCCATGAACATGAACAGACCGGCTAGAACGCTGGTCGGGGTCAAGCCAAGGACTTTCATGAAAGGTGGGCTGACGAAGAGGAGGATGGCGGCGGCGTGGAGAAAGGATGACCATCGCTGCTCATAGACGCGTTTGACCTCGTAGGTCTCGGTCTTCTCCTCGCCGTCGACGAGGATGGTGCGCTGCTCTTTCTCTGTATGCATGAGGGATTCGGAGTGGAGCGGCGCTTGCGGGAGGAGGCCGTTGGCTGGTGGAATCCCCAAAATCCCACAGAGAGCTGTGGTGGTACCAAGGAGGATAATGTCCCACGCGAAACCGCCGGGCTTGCGGGTCCCATAGCGGTCGATGGTGCAGATGATAGAACTGACTTCGTGGTCAAAGAAAAAGAGGATGGTGATGATGACTCCAGGGAGGATGGCGGCGAAGACCCATGTCACGGGTAGGTGCCAGAATTCGACGAAGAATTGGTTGCGATCTGGAGACGTGGGCTTGAAGGAGGTGCTCACGGGAAGGGTCATCTTATCCAGATGAGCCAACTCGCCGATGTGGGGAAGTCCGATAAAGACGATGATGGAGATTGCAGCGGCATACTCGGTCAGGCCCATGCGGATGTATCGGTGAAACAAAGGACGCCAGCTCTCTGCGGTCGACAGAAAGATTGCCAACAGCATTGTTCCAACGGCACCAATGACAGCGTACAGGAAAGCTGCGAACGACAGATTGTCATGGGCTCGTTCTAGCTCCTGAATTGCTTTGTGGAAGTAGATAATGCTGTTGAGGAGGGAGAATATCTCCGTCGCGAATGTTGTGACATATCGCATTGTCCAGTCATGGGCATTTATGATTGCCAGGACATAGTGCAGCCAGCCAGCATGTATTAGTGACCAGGCCATGAAAGGCAAGAAAGGTATCTGTTAGAATGCCATTAGTCCTTGATTTCGCTCCTGCACTAGTGGGCTGCGTGGGCTGCGCACCTTGAAGACCTCATCGCAGAGTTTGTAAATATTCTCTGCGAGCACTGAAAAGGGCCCAGTGACCCCGAGGATGGTCAAGGGTTGGATGGAAAATCTATGAACAACTGTAAGCCAGCGCCCAACGTAGGCAATTAGATGTATGAACACACAAAGAGAAGATTATGCTGCATAGGCCAGTACTGAACACCACCTCAATCGTTCCCCAATGCTGGCCAGTTAAGACGTACAGGTCGCTGGCAAAAGTGATCCCAGGAAGAAGATTAGTGAAGAAGACATAGACGGCACTGGCGAATATCAGCTGGTTGAAGATCTTCCAATCTGAGACATATCGGCGACGCAGGTTCAATATATCCTGTTTGACTAAGCGGAAGGGACGCAAAGGACCACCAGCAGCCACAGACCCACGCAAGACCCGGATAGCTTTGGGAGTATGTTTAGATGGGGTGATTATGGAGTGCGCATCTTCATCGTGGCTATCATCGTCCTCATCCTCGTGCCGATCCCGTCGCAATTCGCGGCTGCGCCGACGCGGACTACGCTTGGGCGATCTCCGCTGCTTGCGGGACCTCAGTCGCAAGGACGAGACCCGAGTAGATGGTGGACGAAAGGCAGAGATCAGAGTCATCCTGTGATTAATGACCTTGTCGGGATAGAAGTCTATGGAGGGGTCCGCGATAAGATGCGATTGTGGGGGAGATAATATGGCCCCGATTGTTGCCCGCCTTGGCCGGGCTTGGTAGATGACGTATCATATCCCCCCGGTAAATAGTACTCGTGGACGATAGACGGTACCAGAATGTGCTTGCACCACGGTTCTAATTTTGGCGCATTCCTGCTCGAAAACCGGGTCTAGCCTTCGCCTCGGTCAAGATTGATATTTGCATCTGTTCTGCGGCGATGAGCAGTGGTCGGTCCAGACCCGTCCAGACGAACAATCAAGTACCAAGAGTTCTTCAACTCAAATAATCTGATGCTGACGGTCCCACAAACAGCTTCATTGGATGTATATTAGAAAGCGTGTGCCACATGATAGAAATGAGCTCCACTTGGGTACCAGCCATGACTAGAACAAGCCACGAGCAGTTTCTCTCTCGCATCGCGAGGTCCGATGAAGGTATCCCGTTATGGAAATCGTAACTATACCCACCACACCGCCTGCCTGACCGCCCTCATCTCCGAACGAAATTGCCGCTCTTCCAAGAAAGCATTTGAAAACAAGCATCGCAATTCAGTCCATACCTTGACCTCACTCATGTCTTTCTGATCATGAGCAAGAACAGTTTCTATGTGAACCTACGCAGTGAACAGCTCAGCATTTACACCTTAATGGACATACGATAATGGCCGCCACATTTATTCCGCGCCAGGTGTTCCCCAATTATGCGTCGATCCCCCGGTCGTACTTCTTGGGCCACCATAGGGCTGGCTTGAGGAAGATGCAAAATATGCTCTCGTCCATCGACTATGTTATCGAGTGCCGGGACTATCGGGTGCCGGTCACCTCCATGAACCCAATGTTTGAGGAAGCGCTGGGGAAGACGAGACGACTGGTTGTGTATACTAAGAGAGATCTGGGTGCAGAATCTGGGTCGGGGGCGCAAAAAAAGGTTGGTGGCATAGCCTACAATTGCTCCCTTTCAGGCTACTACTTGTGGGGGTGTGCCAAATGACTGATTGCAATTTGTCAAATTCCAGGCGGAGAAAACCATCCGGACTTTCAACAAGAACGGGGATTCGCTCTTCGTCAGCTCATCGTCTCGGATGGACGTCGGCACCATCCTGAAACACCTGCGTGACGATTCAGGGATTCCGGAGAGACTCGTCGGCACTCGAGTGATGGTGGTCGGTATGCCTAACGTGGGCAAGTCGACGTTGATCAATAACCTGCGCAATCAGGGGGTAGGAAAGGCCAAGGCCGTACGGACTGGAGGCCAGCCGGGTATCACGCGCAAGATCGCCTCGCCCGTGAAGATCATCGAACGCGAGAATGGCTCTCATGTCTACGTCTTGGACACGCCGGGTGTCTTCATGCCGTACGTGCCGGATGCGGAGAACATGCTGAAATTGGCACTCTGCGGCTGCGTCAAGGACTCGGTCATCGCGCCCGTCACGCTGGCCGACTATCTATTGTACCATATCAACCGCAACGATGCGCAAGTCTATCAGCGATGGTCATCTCCGACAAATGAGATCATGCCACTCCTGAATGACTTCGCCCGCCAGACAGGCCTTCTGGCCAAGGGCGGAATCCCCAACACGGAGCTTGCAGCCCTGCATTTCATCCAGAAATGGCGCGCTGGGGATCTGGGCAAGTTCATCCTCGATGACCTGCAGGCCGAGGAGCAACGGCTGTTGGAAGGTCGAGAGCGGGAGCCCATTATCAGTCGGACGCAAGCGCTGAAGGCTGACAAGCTGTCACGGAAGCAACCCAAGCTGTAAATAATCACATCTCGCACATAGGCTAATATAGCTCGCAACCAACCACCTGTTGTACAAAAGAACGAATCATGTTGGTATCATCAATATGCTTTTGCCTCCCTTAGGATGCATCGTAAACCTGCCAGCGGGTGGGGCAGCACCGCGTATGAAAATAACAAATGTCAAGCAAAAATATGTGAGAAGCGGCGAGAGAACACAACATATGGGTGGAAAAGGGACCAGAACGCCATAGAAACAAATATGACAGTAGAAGAGAAACACCCCGAGAAGACCCCAAGATGACATCACAAATGAGCAGGAATATAAGCCACAAACTCCAGAGCACACAGATATCAAATATCCCCACCCCATCCCCTCAGGAGATCTTATCCAGCAGTCGTCTCCTCCGTCGGTCGACCAGCTCCTCCTGCACCTCCTCCAGACTGGGCAGCCTCCACTCGACCCCGTCCCCAGCATCGCCCGGCAACGGCTCCCACCCATCGTCCCCATCATCACCCTTCTTGCGCAGACGCTCCACGGCCTCCTTCTCCTTCTGCTTCTCATACGCCAGCAGCGAGCCATCCTCCTCATCCAACCCATACCCGAAATAATTGGCATCGACCTTCTTCGTCGCAATATCGCCGCCCCTCCCCTTAACCCCACCAGCAGTCTCCGCATCATCCTCCTCGGCAGGCCGACCGCGCCGGGCCGCCGCCTCGAACATCTCCTTCACGCCGGGCAGCTCCCTCGCCCGCCCGAAGTACCGATACCCTTTGCCGCCGCCGGGGATCTCGCGGCCGTCGTCGTCGAACACGCGGCCGGACCCCCGCATGTAGTTGGGCCCGCCCAGGTTGCGGATCTGCATCTCCCATGTCCACTTCTCCCGCATCAGCTTGTTGATCTCGTCGTTCAGGTCGCGGATCTGGTAGTCGCTCAGGCTGGGCTCCTGGATGCGCGACACCTTCCGCGAGATCTCCTTCAGCACCTGGCCGCGCCATTTCTCGCACATGGGGATCGAGTCGACCGAGGTGATGGCCTTGGGCCGCCGGGTGCGGCCGATGTCGATGATTCCGAGGTCCGCGGCCTGTTGGGCCCGGAACCGGAAGAGCATCGACTGAGCTTTTTCGCTGTTACGCGCCTATATATTGCAGAACGGGGGTGGGGTTAGTTCCATCGTATAGCTGTGAAGGGGGAGGGGGCAGAAATGGGGGCATTGTAGTGGCTATTTCTTCCAAGGCAGCAAGAGCCCAACTTGTGGCGGGAATTGGAGCAAGGTAAAGGTGGGTTGGGTGGGCAATGAAGAGCTTGTTTGTTTCGGCGGGGAAGGCTATGCAGCCGGATGGGTCTTTCTCGCACGAAAGCGAGTCAGGAAGCAATTCATCGATCGAGAACTTACCATCTTGAAAAGCGACGCGGGCGGATCCCGTTCGAGGTGGGCGCTCGAGACAGAGAGGTTGAGGTGCAGAAGCAGAGAGGCATGGAGTCTTAACGTCCCAAGCTGGAGTGGATTCGCCCGCCGCCCGCTCCAAGCGAGCGCCAAGCGTAGCCGCGCGGCTAGGAGAGCTCCGTCGGCTGGCAGCACCACGTTGGTTTGACCTTAATATCTAGCTGGCAAAAGCCGCCGACTTCTGTATGGTCCAAGTATAATCTAAGCTGGTCAAATGATCCATAACTCGAAATTCTTAATGGGCTTCTATATACTAAGAATCAAGAACAACGTCACTTAAGTGACAGCGGTAGTGGCGCCCAATTAGTAGAGTACCCGCACCGGATACACACATGGGCCACCGTGTAGGGCGAGCAGATGTAGCAGATGTCGAAGAACACACGTAAACGTGTGAGCAATATGCGGCATCTCAAGCTTCTATATGTTGTATTGGGACCCCAAGGCCATGTACAGTTACTGTGGTCTGTCTGGACGAATATAAAAGCAGTCGTTCAAGTATACAATCATGCGATAGGCATATTCCCATCAGAAGTCATCAAAAATTGCATCAGGGACCTGCGTAGCGGTTCCTATGAAGATCAATAAAGTGGGCAGACACATCATATCAAATACCATGTAAGACCAAATCCATACGCCCTAAATTCAATCACACTCCGTAGCCATGCAGGGCTTCAATCAAGTCATGTTCGTAAGTTGTCGCTCAGGCCCTGGATGAAGATTTAGCGCCCGAGTCTCGAATTAGTAGGCAGAAGTGTAGTAGAGTCATTCTGCCAGGTCGTCATAGTCTTACAAGAAGCCTTTCGTGTTGCTGGGCATCCGTTGTGGTATGTCGCCGGAGTTGTACACGCTGCTGCCCCGTCTGCTGCCAGCATCACTCCACGCGCCGATCCGTCCAATTGCGCTGCCCCGTTCAACACGGAGGCCCCTCCAGCCCTCCAATTCTCGCTCCACCCGGAGTAGCTTCTCTCGTTCTTCCCGCAGTTCTCGTTCCGCTCGACGCGCCTGGAGCTGTGCCTCGGATTCACTTTGCTGAAGCTCCTCGATGTCGCGCAGAAGTCGGTCGATCTTTGCGCGTGTCTTGGTGACGTCATCGTTCAGCTGTGCATTCATCTTATCACGTCGCTCAATCTGGGATTGGAGATCCTTCACTGTTCGGTCAACGTTACGCAACGAGCGTTGTTCAGAACTTTGCTTAGACTCCTGCTCCTCAAGGTGTGTTTCCAGCTAGTTATCGGGATTGGTTAGTGATTCAAAGGGTCGTACCCTTGTATGCGGAAGAGATAGACTAACCTCCTTGATTCTCTTGTGCAGGAAACGTACGTCCTGGCTACCAGAAGAGTAGCTCTTAGTTTCCAAGTCGACGCAACGCAGCTGTGATTCCTTCAATTGCTTTTCGAGCGCAGCCTTGTCTTTGAAGAGTTGGGCATTGTTCTCTCTCTCAGCAGTAACTTCCTTTTGCATTTCCATCACCAGAGCCTCCGCGCGCCGCATCTTGCCGACAGCAGCAGCGGAAACATCTTCTTGTTGAGCAAGTTTGGACTTCAGCTCTAGTAATTCACGGTCCATGCTTGCGGCATTGCGCATAGAGGGACTCTCTCCTTTGACGAGATCTTCAAGTCTTGCACCGGCTTCAGCCAAGCGCGTTTCCAGAGTTTTCTTCTCTGTAAGTAGCATATCGCGCTCTGCGGTCACGTCATCAACTGAAGTACGCAGGGTCCGGACTTGTGATAGCAACGACACGACCTTGCTCTGAGCCTCGTTGTGCGCAGATACCGCCTCATCACGAGAGGTCGTCACATCTTGAAGCATAATGTCCATGCGGGCCTTCTCCTTTGCCCATGTTGAGCTGTTCAGAACCTCGTTGTCCCACTTGCTGCGAAGATCTTCGAGCTCCTCGCGCAGGCGGGCATTTTCACCGCGAACATTCAGCACCTTCTCACGCTCCATTTCAAGTTCGTTGTTGAGGGTTGTGAACTCGCGCTGATACTTCTGTCTGGTCTGCTCCATAGAGGTTTCCTTGTCCTCAATGTCAATGGCACGTTGGTTTCTGTAATCCTCAAGCTCGTTTTGGAGACGCTGCTTAGCCTGGAGGGCAGCTTGTAGCTCTGCCGCCTGATCCTCCATTCGCGCTTCGAGAGATTGTGTTTGGCGTTGCAGGTCTTCGACGAGAGCATCCATCTGTTTCCGCTCGGCCATGATCTGAGCGCAAGTATCCTCGGCCTCCTGGGCTTGGGTTTTGGCAAACTGCTCAGCCCGAGTGGCCTTGAGGACAGTGATCTCTGCCTGCTCAAGCTTGTTGAAATATTCATCCGCTCGGGACTTGTAGAGGCTCAGACTCGATGCAAGATCAGCGGTTTTTGAGGTCTCCGCATCAAGCCGGATTTGAAGATCAGAGAACTCTTCGAGAAGTTGGTTCCGGCTGATGGCATCCTGATCCCGTGCATCTTGCACCTCTTGGAACTCGGAGCGGGTGTCACGTAGCTCTACCTCCAATGTGGCCTTGGCGCGCTTGAGTTTCTCCAGTTGAGCCTTAGAGTCACCAAACTCTGCCATGGTTTCCTTGTGTACCTGAAGCAATGCTCTCCTCGACTGCTCTTGCGAGTTGATCAGATCGTAGAGTTCTTCGTGGGACTTGGCTTGGATGTCGCGGAGCGAGAGCTCCCCCGTATGGATGCTCTTCTCCATTGCAGAGAGCTTCCTTGCTGAATCATCAAGCTGCTCATGCAGACGGCCATTTTCACGCTCAAGCAACTGCATTCGGCGTACAGAGTCATCCTGCCACATATCGCGGGCTGGGGATGCTTGAGAAAGCTGGTTCTGGAGATGCTTGTTCTGCATTTCGCTTATCTGGAGCTTGTTTTGAAGTTCCTCGATTTCTGCCGCCATGTCCATCCGCTTCTGATAGCCTACGGTGTCCACGGTCCTATCGGAGCGAGCGGAGTCTGCCATTTCGTTGAAGTTCAGTTTCCGGTTGGGAGTCGTGGGCGTGCCAAACTTCTTTGCAATGTTGTCGGAGTTCTTTCGGAGATGGGTTGGTGTACGATTTCCCGCAACCTGGTTCTGGTCGATCTCCTCGAGTAATGCCCGTTTCGAGGAGGCATATCGCGCGTCGAGCTCCTTCATCTCATCGCCATGACGACGGCGCATTTCCGCCAACTGGCTCTCGGCCCGACTATATTTCTCCTCGGTCACCTGCAGCCTGCTTCTGGTGGCTTCAAGTAATTGGGCCAGGTCGATCTTTTTAGAGAGGTCAGGCTGTACCTTTTCCCACGTTGAATCAGAAAGATCCGCTTCGGGTTCCACGACCTTGTGGAGCAGCATCAGCTGACGATGCAAATCTTCGATCTCCTTATTTGCACCATCAAGAGAGTTCTGGAGTTGACGCGTGTTGGTCTGTGCCTGTGTGCGGAGTTGTCTTTCCGTCTCCAGGTTTCTGTTAGCTTCCGCGAGCTGAATTCCCGCTGTAGACGCGGCCTTCTCAGCGTTACGGCTGGCTTTATGCTCTCTGTTGACTTCGTGGTTCAAGTCCTCCAAGCTGAGAGAAAGCTTCTCCTTCTGCTTCTCCAGCGAGGTGATTGAGACGTGAAGATCGCCAAGCTGACGAGTAAGCTTCTTATTGTCCTCTTCCAACTTAGCCTTCTCCCTTTGAAGGTTGGTGATACGAAGCCGTTGGTTGTCACTTGCTCTTGAAGTTGACCTGGCTATGTCAAGATTCTTTTGCTGGATCTTGGTAAGGAGAGCACGATTATCATTCTCTGACGCTGTGAGTCTGCCCTTCAAGGTTACTAATTCTCGTTCGAGACGCTCCTTGGCTTGGTCATGGCGAATGCGGAAGTTGTCAGACTCAGCAATGGCGTTCATCAGCTCTTGTTCTCTGACGGCAAGTCGGGATCTTTCAGCCTCGAGCTCCTCTAATTGGTGAGACCGAGTATCGAGGTCTTTCTGGACACTCTGCAGACGTTCGGTAGCCTGCTTCATAATGTTGCGCTCAATGTCAGCTTCCGCATCCAATCGAGCAGTTTCGACCTTGGTAAAGCGGTCCCTAAGCTGGATCAGCTCAGTCTGCAGCTCCTTCCGCGACTCTTCAGCAGCAACGCGGGCCTCAGTGGCGCGACGCAGAGTGTCTTGCTGGATGTACATCTCTTTCTCAATGATAATCTTTGATTCATTGAGTGCGGTGTACTTATCCTTCAATTCTGCCAGGTTGTGCTCAGCGAGCATCTGGACATCATCCCGGGACTGCCTTTCCCGGCTCAGATCTGCTTGCGCCTTGAAAAGTTGTGCCTTAAGCTCCTGGATCTGCTGTTCAAGGAGCTTTCGACTCTCACCAGCTTCGGCGTCTTCAGAGATCTTCTCCTCTAACAGCTTCTTGACGTCAGCGGCTTCACGCTCAAGTTGAATCTTTTCAGACACCATAGCGTCACTTTCAGCTTGAAGCTCGCGCAGTCGTCGTTGCATATTATCATGGCGGGTTGAAAGCGTAGCCTTTTCGGATTCTAGCTGCCGCTTCTCATCCTCGTGCTTCTTCGCATCGTTACGAAGCACTGACATCTCGCTCTCTTTCCGACGAAGCATCTCTTCATACCCCGTTGATGTTGACGACAGCTCGGATATCTGCTGTCGGATAGTGCGATTCTCCTCGACGAGCTCCTTAATGTGTTTCTTGGACTGATCCAACTCCTTTGAGGTCTTCGCATGTTTGATCTCCAGGTCTTGATCTGTCTTCAGCAGTTTCGCCTCCAGATCTTGAAGCTTGCGTTCTTTAAGGCTGAGATGGCTCTGGAGCATCTTAATTTCCTGACCAAGTTCCTGGACTTGGGCGTCTTTCTCTGAAGAGGTTCTTGTCGCCTCGGCCAACTCGCCTTCAATGTCTTCAAGTCGAGCCTGCATCTCTCGCTTCTCGTTCTCGAAACGTTGGATAATCTCGCCCGCTTGTTCAAGTTGGGTGATCCGCAGCTCAAGCTCGTCGTCTGTCTTTTTCTTCGCTGCGATGAGATCATCCAGCTGATCCTCGAGACTCTCCTGATCGGCAATGGCACCAGCCAGCTTCTCACTTAGTTCAACTTCCCGAAGCTGAAGTCTCTTGAAGATCTCCTCCTTATCGAGAGCCAGAGAGCGTTCGCTCTCCAGAGTTTGTTGGATTTTCTGAATTTCAATCTCTGTCCGGCGCCTTTCCTCCTCGAGCTTGTACCGGTTCGCCAGATCTTGGTTCATCTTCAGTTCCAACTCTTTAATCTTCTCATCTCGCTTCTTGACTTCGCTGGCCGTCCGTGTCTCACCAAGGAGGGGTTTCATTCTTGAAAACAATCTCCACCAGGGATTAGCCTTCATATCCAGATATACTCGGAAATTCTGCTGGATGATACGGGTGGCTTCAGCCCGGTAAAGACGTTTGTTTGAGATTCGCCGTTGCACAAAGCCTCGAGCAACAGACTGAAAGCGGGTCATGATGGTACGGATAAGCTGGTCTCGTTTCTCTTCCAATTCGGCCAAAACACCAGCCCGGAAGAAGACTTTGGTACGACCGACTCGGTACCATGTAGGGTCCATCTCAAGCTTCTGTAGCATCATGTGAGCGGCATTTTGGCCATCCAGGTAGCCCTTCGGCATCTTCTGGCACAGCACCTCATAACGTTGACGGAACTCAGCAAAGGTTAGTCTGTTAGGGAAGCCTGTGCGCGCAATTCTGATGCCCTCAAGTACACCGTTGCATCGCAATTGATCAAGGACAAGAGGGGCATTAAGCATCTTAGGACGCTTTTTGTGGTTGGGAATGATGCATCGAACGAAATGGGGATGAGTAGAGTTCAATTGCTGCATCAACTTGGCCAGTTGCTCCTTGTGCCGCTGGGCAACGGTGCGGAAAAGTCCCTTCTTCACACGACTCTTTGGGTAATCACTTTCGTCGTCAAGGTCACCACAATCAGAGAAGAGATTCGCAACATGCGGCTCGTCCGAATGAGCGAGAAGACGAGTTATGTTGTCGTTAAGCGGGTCCTTGTTCTTCTCGAGCCAGCCATCAGTATCGTATTCCACCTCAGCCGCGTAGTGCGTGAGCACAAATCCCTGGCTAAGACGGGAGGCACGATACTTGGCAGATTTGCGATCCCAAAGCGAGTGTAGCTTTTCGGTGAAGGTTTTGTCAGTGGCCTTTGGCATGACGCAGTCTTCATCCAAGCAAGAGAATATACCGATGGGGTTGGTCAATTCAATCAAGTCGATTGTTGGCTGCAGGTCTTTCCCGAAGTCAATAAACTGCCACTCGATCTGCTCCCTTGCGTATTCTTCCTGCTCTAGGACGAACATATGGTGGTTGAAGAACTGTTGAAGTTTCTCATTGGTGTAATTGATACACAGTTGCTCGAAACTGTTGTTCTCGAAAATCTCGAAACCAGCAATATCAAGAACTCCAATGAAGTAACTGTCATCACCAGTGACTGTGCTACGGTCGAGTTGGCCGTTAATGCGGTCAACAAGGTTGCCAAAGCCACGCTCGTAGATACCCTTGGCCAGGGCATCGAGAGCAAGCCGGACCTGCTCCGGAGTTTGGACCTTCTCCACCCACTCACGCCCCGCCTTAACTCTCGGATGTAGCAACCCTTTGACAAAAGGCTCTGGTGCGATGCCAAGCAAATGACACGCTCTTTCTATACTGTTCAATGAGTCGGGGGCCAGGGCAGCTTGATCGGCCCGCAAGCTTGCCTTCACAATTGTTACGTTTCCCAGGTGAAGAACAGCAGCGATCGTGCGCAAGATGCACATCTGATCTTCATCTGAAAAGTTCATCACGTGGAACGCTTCGACTAATAGGTTCCACTCCTCCTCATCAGAGACCCCTGCAATCGTCTCGTTACCATCTCTGGTGTACGCGAAATCTTGGATCTGCAAGTCCGACAAGAGCAAAGTCTCTTTTAACTTCTGGTCTGCACCTTTCAAAAGCTGGTAAAAGATGTGGTAGTTTCTCTCGTTTGCATTTGGTTTCACAACACGAGACTTCTCAAGGAGGTACCAATTGATGGACGCGCCTGATATCTGGCCAGCTCGGGAGAACTCAATCCTGATGAATTTGCCGAAACGGGAGGAGTTGTTGTTCCGAACAGTTTGCGCGTTACCAAATGCTTCGAGAATCGGATTCGCGCGAAGAATTTGCTGTGACAATGCCGACAAGTGGTTGTTTCCCGACCGAGCGTAGGGTGTATCCGTAGTCGCAACGGCTGCAAGATATTGGATAACCTTCTTAGTGTTTTCGGTCTTACCTGCGCCTGACTCTCCTCTTGATATCGTTGTCAGCTTTAACTCCAACCAGCTTCCATGACCAACCTCGGAATTAAACTTACGTGACCAGGATGCTCTGGTTCTCTCCTTCCTCCACCAAATTGCGGAACGCCTCGTCCGCCATAGCAAATATGTGGGGGCGGTTTTCATCCCGATTTCGTCCCTTGTACATCTTGACATATTCGTTGGAGTAAATTGGCAGAGGACAGTATGGATTGATGGTGACAAGGAACAGGCCCGAATATGTCTAGCAAATGACAAGTCAGCTCAAACGGGCAAGGTGATCGGGATCGCATTCAGCTACTCACATAGATGAGATCGGCTTGGTATCGGGTATGCAGGTTGTGAACCACCGAGGCCTCGTTTAGATGCGTCAATTCGGCCATATCATCGGCCTTGTCGAACTTCGCCGGGTTGACCTTGTCCACTTGGTCGACCTCGACCTCTCGTTGCTGTGCAAGTCAGCCAATGCGTCTCGGGTCCCTTATACAAAGCAAAGTACCTCTCCATCGTCGGTCTGAACGAGCAGCCGACCACTTTCACCTTCCTCCAGCACCAGTCCACGTACGAATGCCTTCTCAGGGTCACGTAGCCAGACATATTTGTTCCCAGAGAAGTCATTGTCGCCTTCCAGACCCCGGATCTGATCGGCTCCGCGCCGGAGCTCTTCCGTCTTTATGAACTCCGGCGCAAAGGTTCCAGACGCGGCATCATTCCTGAGTGAGCCCGATCTCTGGCGAATTCCCGGTCGAGGAACTAAAGAAGTAGATGCTTGCGAGACTGACGAAGCGTTTCGGAAATGCCCTCGTGTCTCTTGGAATTTACTGGGCGATGCAACGACAGCAGACTTGGGGCGCAGCCCTCTTGCCTGCTGGCTGGGAGAGGAAGAAGGTGATGGCGTAGCGCGACTGAAAGGGTTGACTCGTTTGGGAGAGCCATTAGATTGAGAGGGCAGCATGTCGTCTGTAATTCAACAATGAAACATTATTCAACAAGAGGGTCGTGTAATCATAACAATAGCAATAGGACAAAATGGAGACGAGGAAAGCCCAAAGAAAGAGCTGTCTAGTAGCCTCTTAACGGAGCATGCAGGCCGAATTGGAAGAAGGGAAGCAGATTAAAGAGGGGAGACGACAAGGTGGGAACATGGAAATTGAGCGGTGGACGTGGGAGAAGTGGGAAATGTAAGATTAGATCGAGGGAAACAAGGAGTGGAGTGTGTAAGGTAGTAAGGTAGTAAGGTAGGTTGGTAAGTTAGGTCGACTAGAGCGTCACCACCAGCCAGCGTCGTCACTGACTTGAGTTGACCAGCTCCACCTCTCTCCGTCTGTTTGTTTATGTCCCTCGTTCCTCGTTCCCGCGGGTGCAGATCGGCTGCTAGCTAACTAGTCCGCATCGGTTGTGCATCCGTCAGAGCACGTGATCCGGGATCTTTTTCGTTTCGGGAGGACTGCAGGTCTGGAGCGAGACTCAACTTGGAACCTCCCCTTCCGTTACACATACGCTAAGCTAACTTGCCTGTCTTTCTTTCATCTATCCACCCTTCTCCTTCTCCATCTTCTGCATCACTCGTCTTCACTGGGTCTTCCGCGTTATCTGCACTAATCAAGTAAGGATACGTGCTCATCTCGCATATGGCATAGACACCTTCATGTATAGCCAGAGTGTGCTGTGGGCTCTCTCCCCGACGCGACTTTTCTTTCCTCCTTTCATGACTCGGCTGTGGTTATAAGTTACTTTAGTCCCACCCACAGCCCCCTCCTCCGATGTGCGATACCCAAAATCTACGCTGTAGACTTTTGAAAGCTGCTCTCTTACTTACTCGGTACAGAAGATATTTACAGTCACCTTCTGCATGCTTAACTGTCCATTCGCCCCTCTAACAATGTCAAACTACCCTCCGACACCCTCCTTCGCGGGACCACATTATACACCACCTCAGTGGCCTCCGTCAAACCCGACTCCTTCCTCATCCATGCCTTCCTTACTTCCTCATCATCATTTCCCCTATATTCACAACCAGACTGCCGTTCCGCCATCTCACCCCGAAGGGGCTGCGCTTCCTGGTAATCAAGATAGTCACATGGCCAACTCACATCTGCCGGGGCTCGGAGGCCCGGGCGCGCCTGGACAAATACCGCCGCCGCTATTCGGCTTCATGGCCCCATTCACCTCTTCCCCGTTTCCACCTCCGCCATTTCCTCCGATTCAGATGCCGCCTCTGAGATACCCTTCTATCCCAGCGCCTTCCGCCCCTGCTATGCACCAATCCGGTTATACACCGAATGAACCACAGCCCCGCCTTGGTCAAGAGGTCTCGACCCCTGCGGATTCACAAGTTTCGAGCACATCCAACTCCAATATGGACCTTGATCGCGAAGAAGGCGAGCTTACTGATGGAGATGAGCTACCGTCCCAACCGAAGGGATCCGAAACGGCTGCTGCATCGTCACGACCACCGAAAGATGTGCAAGAACACCTAAAAGCGAATGGAAAAGTGGGCAGTACGCGCGGCTATTCTCGAAACCTACCTAACGCCAACATTTCCAATACGTCAACTTCTTCCGTACCCATATCTTCTAAAGATACTAAGAAGGAAGGATTGAACGTAACAAGTACCGAGAGCTCAATGGAAGGTCTTTCGTCATCTCGGAGCAGCGGCTCTCGTATGTCACCTACACTTCACCTCGTCGATATATCTTGCTTACAGTCTGGCAGCTTATAACCCGGCTCTTACAATACGTGCTGAATCTCCCTGTCCGAACAATATTGGCCTCGATGGCGCTGCTATGTCGAGTCTACTCAGCGACAACACATACGAGCCAGCGAACAATGAGGTGATTGAGAATAATCCTGACCGACTATGGTACGACATGAAGCCCACGGCTCAGTTGCGCGTTCAGGCCCAGGGGGCACTTCTGAGTTTGGCTCCTCACAATATTCGCTACAATGAATTGGTGAGAGAAGGCATTGACCCTCTTGTTCTTCGTCAACTTTACGAGGACGTTGGCATCAAAATTCCTACTCCGCAACCTGATGTCGAGTCAAACTCACCCGCTTCTGCAGGGCACGGTCTAGATCAACCAGTTGTCAAGGTTGCGACTTCACCGAAGGGTGCTGCGCAGCAAGACCCTATGAATGTTGTTGTCTCTCCTCCGCCATCCACACAGCAGGCTGTAACGGGAAAACCAATGGAGCGGAAGGAAGTCATCGCCCGCATGCTTGCGGCGAAGGCGGCCAAGACCTCCACATCCACGCCGTCACAGACCGAAGCTGCAAAAGAAACCATACCTTCTTCGAGCTCGAATTTGCCTGATGCTGGCAAAACGACGACACTTCCCTCACGCGATGCTCCGACGCTAGAGAAGGAAGCGCGCGTGAAGGAGAAGAATAAAGCACAAACCGAACTCGCCAGACAAAGAATCGAACAACTCAAGAAACAAGGGTTAATGAGGACTTTGCAGAAATCACAGCCAGATTCAACGCCATCTGAGCCAAATGAAGAGCACACCTACAATACAGATACCACACAGGCCACGAACTTGACTCCAATTCAGCACCCTTTGCCTGAGCGCCCGCCGGACCCAGAATTTTCACCTCAATCTCGTATTCCAGGGCTTTTCATGACCGAAAGCCAGGAACCGGCCATAACGGAAGAGTCGAATGCTGCGCCTGTCCAGCATGTTGCCGATATAGATACCCAAACACGCACCAATCAGCGCAAGAGACCGCGAGCATCTGACTTTGACGAACCCATTCCCATGCCCAAAAAGTCATTCGGTAACGGGTCAAACCACGTCGTTGCTGAACCTGCGAGGCTTATTATCGACATCAGCGACGATGAGTTTTATGGGGATGACGAGAATGATAGCATGGACGTTGATACACTGGCAGGAAACGTGTCGCAGGATGTTGAGAGACTTCTCCGGAGCACTCCGATGACCACAGATTCGTTACCTCAGCGGCCAGCAACATCACTCAGTCAGGGTTTCTCTACGTCGGTGACTCCCAATGGACGGAATTACGATCAAGAACATCAGGAGCATCTTCGCCGTAAGGACTTGGAAATCAAGGCGATGCACCGTCGGATTGCCGAGCTTGAGGAACGGAAAAAGGCGAAGCTAGCAGCTAGTCGCACCCAGTCCCCTCGTGCTCTGGATCTTCCAACGCCGCTTGATGATTCAGTGACGGCCAATGTCGCCATCCATGAGAACACCAATGTAAATCAGGTGCCTAAGCTGGACGAGGCGACTTCCAAGCTGATGGATCAATCATCTTCACTCCCCAAAGATGCTCTCAAACTAGAGGAGATGAGAGCCAAACTCTTGCGGAAGCAGGAAATCGAGTCTGGTATCCCTGCCCTGGATCACGAAATAAACAAGTCCGAGGCAAGGCTGGCCGAGGTGAATCAGGAGCAGAATTCTCTTTTATCTCAAATCACCAAGGGGAAAGAAGGTCGCCAGCAGCTTTTACATGAATTGGAAGCTCTTGGCCAGGAGTTGCAGGACGTGACACTTGATGACATAGAGTTAGCCCTCCGCCAAGTGCAGACTGAAGAACCCGCAGATGCAGAACTCATCGGTAAGTCGTACTTGTATTTATGTCATTCTTGCGAAATTGAGGATTGGCGCTGATTGAACCGTGCTTAGCAACTACCCATGAATTGCCTCCTCGGCCTATCACAGATCAGGTTCCCGAGGCAACAAATGCCCAAGTGCCCGTGCATAACGAAGGTGTACCCGCTACTGACTATGTATCTGCTTCGGACGCCGCGGTATCCAATGCGGAACATGAGAAAGATACTGTCATGGACGATGCTGACGAAGAGCAAATGGCTACTTCATCGTCTGATTCGATGAGCTCGTCGATGGACGAATCCAGTGATAGCGATAGCGAAAGCGATGATTCCGCGTCGGTCGCGTCGGAAGAATCAGTAGCCAGAAGCTCTGCGCCAGCCACTGCCGAGACCGAGACTCAGAACGACCGAACTCAAGATACTGAGCAGGAAACCCCGGCCGAGTCGGATTTGGATGGCTCCTCGCTAAAGCAATCGCAACTCACTAATGCTGAATCCCAGGTCAATGTTACGTCTGATGAACATATGGAGGGATCAGCACCTGAAGTACAGGACCGAGGATCTCGTGAATCGTCTGTATCGGACGCTTATGAGCCTCCCGAGCCAGAATTGACTGCAAGCCCAGCCGGTTCCGCTTACTCACCCCCTTTTAGTCCTGCTTCTCCTGCTCCTATTGAGCCTACCGACGACTCTGAATTTCCATCGAACGAGGTTACCAAGGCTAGCGAGCCGCTAACTGAGAATGACCAGGGCTTGGCTGTTCACCAACCACGAAGTTATGCTCGAATCAGCCCTTTGGATGTGCGAGGCTCCTCAGTCACGGCCAGTAATCTGATGCTAATGAGTAGTAGAATGAGCGGGATCCCTATGACAGCCTTACCACATTCACGCAATACGATAGTCCACTAAAGCATTTCAAGGCTTACCGCTACCACCCAAGCTACGTTGAAAATGTTGCAAACGGCTATCGTTCTCTGACATATAGCCACAACATTGACCCCATGAAATACCTGTGTCCGTTTGAGGCTGCGGGGGGTGTCTGCAACGATCGATCTTGCGAATTTCAACACTTCCGAGACATGTCTCTTAGCGGTGCGTCGACAGATTCAAGCCATTATTCACAGACATATCCCTTGATGATCTGAACATTGACTTTGCCATCTCTGGCTCTGGTTATTTGTGTCAATCTTCCCATGACCCCTTTCCTTCGCACCACATCTCTCTGCTGTTCTCTCAGTCCCTTGATCCCCTGTCGTGACTCGATTTGTTGGTCGGATTTGCATTGTGCGGATGCTGACGCACAGGCTTGTTAACCTCGACAGATGACAAAATCTTGGTCCAAATGGGCTCTCTCCGCGAGGGCAAAACCCCCGAAGAGAAAGATGAATACATTGCCGGACTGAAGCAGATCATCAACGACATGCGACGCGACAAGGTGAAAGACTTTAGCACCGTGGCTGCGGAAATAGCCGCATACCGTAGACGCTTCCTCCAAGACCCTTCGCGGATCTTGCCATTGTAACCCCTGACATGGAACGTGCGACAGTCAAGATTACTCATTCTTTGAACAAGGTGAGGTGCGATGCATCGTGCACTCAGCACTCAGGAGCTGTGCAGGTAGATTTCTGCTGCTTGCTGTGCCAGCATCGAGCTATATCTGAAAGCCTTTCCCTTTCTTCTTTTTCTTCCTCATCACCTCCACCACCATCTTTCACCATGGATAAGCAACCCCGGCTTTCCTCTTTTTGAACGTTTGAGATCTGGCATCTCTTCTTGAGCGAGAGCGACTTCCAGGGCAACCGCGCTGTTATCCTATCTACTCTTTTCTTCTTTTTTGCCATTTGGCATACAAAAGCACGAGCCCGGCGTTGGACGGAATCATCTTCTCTTCACCTTGTTTTTGCCTCTTAACCGAAGTGGGCGTAAAGCAACTTTCCCACGTTACGACACGACCGCAAGCCTGGAGACTTAGGGTCTGACTTAGCGAGGGTGATGGCAACGCCAGTAGTTGACCAGGTCTTCCAACGGTATGGGATGCGGTCCTATACAGTCCAATGTCATAGGGCTGTGCAGACAGCGGGGTTCATAGGAAAGAAGTACAGTACAGTACAGTACATACATAGTTTCTATTGAGATTCTGATTTTTCCCCCCTCGGAAAGAAAATCCTCGTATGTACTCTGCCTTGTGTCCGAAGGAGCTAGGAGCTTCCTAAGCGATCCCCCTCCCCCTCTCCAGAGCCTTATGCTAGTTCGCAAACCAAGGAATGCACGCAAGCTACGTCAGTCCCACCTGGATCAAGTAGACTAACAAGCGACACAGCCGCCTTCGCGTGGAGCGCCCGCTAGGCGTCTAGCGATAGATTCCCTTAGCAAGTAGTTTTAGCGGTAGACTACTATCCACACCTTGGCATTCAAAAAGGAGGGAACCCACCCTGCAACCACCCGGGCATGCTAGTCTAGGGGGGTTGTCCGCAAAGAAAAGCGCCCAGCGAGTACTCTAGGCGTAGTGCCGCAGTGCCGCAGTGCCTCGTGGAGCCCAGACACACAGCCAGAGCAGCAGCAGCTGCTGCTGCTGCTGCTGCCCGCCCTAGAATCCAGGAACATGGAGAATTCATGGATGCATGCATGGGTCCCGAGCGCGACGCCCTCGGGTAGGTTGGTACCCCAGGCTTCCCCATCCCCCTCCCCCGTCTGTCCAAGGCACAACCGCACCGACCGTCCCCTATCGAATCTTCTGAAGTTCGGCGGTATATGTGATGAATTCGGGAATCCCCGAGGGCTTACTGGGTACCTTACTACATACATACAGTAACTACGGAGTGCCTGGCTAGTAGTCGAGTCAACGTAACCTGTCGGGCGCAGAGAATGGAAAGAAAAAAAACCCCTCACCATCACCCTCACCTGCACCCGCACCCGCACTCACACCCACGGTCCTACTGGTCCCGCAACTGACGTTCAGCATTTTGTATATGTAGTATACACTCTTAATCTAAGTGAAAAGAAGACTGGGAGAAAAGGGGGGGTCAACAAAAAGAAATTGTGGCAGTGTTTTTGAAATCTACCTACTTCCCACAAACACAAACCCAAACACAATGACCCGGCTATCGTGCACGCTAGCTAGCCGCGTTGCGTTGCGTTGCGTTGCGTTGCACTAAAGTTGACTCAGGGAGGAGTTGAGTGAGTGCACGGCTAGCTACATCACTTTGTGATTGATTGATTGAGCGAAGTGAACTACTCCGTCGAGATGGAGTGGTCGGTTATGCAGGTTTGTTCCCCTTGTTGAGTCATCTGTGATCCTGTGACCGTGGCCTGGGGTTTTGTGACTCAGGCACACAGGAAGATGAGGGTTGCTTGCGTATGTTTTGCTGTTGTCGTCATTTCTGTCGCTTGTTTGGAGGTTTGGTTGGTTGGTTGGTCGGTCGGTTGATGGTGCAGATGCTGGGGCTTGAGCTTGAGAGTTGGCCTTGAATGAGGCAGGTGATGCTTGTTGTGGTTTTTTGTCTTAGATATAAATAAATATCTTGCAGGGAAAAGGAAAGTTGAGGGGTTGTGGTGTTGGGACAAGGGAAGAGGTGTATGTAGAAAGGAAAACGTAGGAGAGAAAAATGTGAGACATGGTTGGAATGGTGGTGGTTGAGCTTGTGTTTGAACAACTTTCGTGGTTGATCGCAAAGATGCTGTAGACTAGGTAGACAACGATGCGGAGGTACTATGGGGTTGTCCCGTCTACTATCTTGAGGCGTTCTGTATAACCTCAACATCAATGACAGCAACCACGAGAATAGAAGCTCGTAAAGATGGGGGCAGTAAAAGAAGAGAATAGGAAACCACGTGGAACTGCGTGAAGTGACACGACATGATTAGCGATCATCTGGAATGGGTGATATCTCAATATGGAGAAATGCAGCGCCATGACGGAGTTGACGAGTTGTACTGTACGGTGTACACAGGAGGAGCATCGCATGGCGGACGGGCGGGCGGGCGGGTAAACAGGCACTACATGTGGAGGAGGTACACCGCAGCTGAAACTGTCCTGTCCGCGGAACCTGCGTATCATGTACCGGCGGCGCGGCCCCCAAATAAAACGGTGGGTCGTCGACTCCAGTGGTGGGGTAACTTAACTGTTTCCTCTGCTCGGGAGGGCGAAGTCATACTTCTTGATGATGATGATGATGCAGATTAGTAGGACTCGGGGTTAATCTGAATCAATATTGCACATTCTGCCTCTCTCTTCACTACTCCTTCCTTCCCCTTCTTAGTATCCCGAAAGGTGTGTCTAATGGAGTAGTAGTGCTGACAGGAGCGTCGAACACGCAGTTCCAGAAAAAGACTTCCTGTGCCTTGCGGTCGCGTGCAACGTGGTGGGCAGGGAATATTCTGCTTGGCGCAGCGGCTAAAGGGAGAAATATAAACATAGCAACAGTCCGTCAGACTGGATCAGGCTTAGTGGCGGATCGGTTTTCGATACCATCGAATAAGGAACACAAATAGGATGACGGAGAAGAGAAGAGTTGCAGAAAGGACAAGAAGGAGGGAGGTCAGACATCTTACACAGTAAGAATATAGTCGCGGGCTCGGAACCGCATTGCTTACCAGTTCGGGGATATTGGAGGTCGTACATGCAGTGATCACCGCAGGCAAGAGAAGACTCTGAAACCCACTAGAAGGTGTGTGTGTTTTTGTGAGGGTGTGGATGTGGATGTGAGCGTCAAGAAGATTTTTGGCCCCCTCGGGAAATGGTGAGCCATGAAGGAAAAAAACGTGGAAAGGAGCGTTAAGCCTAATCATATCAAGATCACACCATGTGGCTTTTCTCACCCATCAGCAAGCGGGCTTGTCTCGCACCGAGACACACCGTTTGACCCGTGTTCGGGATGAGCCAAAGGCTGTACTGCACGCTGATCTGGATCGATTGGACCGAAGCAACGAGAGAGGGTCTAAAGATATCATCAGGATAGTAATGAGAGAGAGAGAGACGGCCCCAAATGCATAGTAACCGCGAGTCCCAGCTTACTATATGTTGACGACAACCAGGATATTGTCTATACTCCGGAGTTCCCAGCGAGCTGAGCTGAATAGCGGGGACCGTCTACGCGAATCGGCCAATTGCAGCACAACATTGCGGGCTTTAGTACACAACCGGTTCTGTCTCTAAGGCACTACTAAAGTAACTACCTGGCAGGCTGTCTGTTGATTGATTCTTTTCTATGAAAGCTGGACGTCAGATATGGAAAGAAGAGATTACCAGACTAAGTTAGCAGTGCGACCGCATCCAGGTCGGAGAAAATCGAATTCCCCCCAAATGACGATGGTCCACTTTTTTTTTAAATCCACCAAACCTAAAGTTCTACTCAGCCCTGCCGCCCATGACTCCTTTGGAATGCTTGGAAGCCAAAATTCGGGGCACACCTGTCATGCTTCCCGAGTCTCGTCTCTCTTGCCTGTGCTTACACTTTCCCCCTCCGTATTCGACAACCGCTCAATCATACACACTACTGCAGCCAGTCATCGCGAGCTGAACCACACAAGAAAAATCCTGCGACCACAGACAGGCGCGAGACCGCCAGTTTCCCCCCAGCCATAGGGTTAATTGCATACAGATACCGAGAGAAAGGGCGGTGGGATTTTGGTTGTTGTTTGCTTACTACCTGGTAAGTTAGCATCCCGGGTTGACGGTCATCGAGGTTGTGGCTGCATGATCTGCATTCCCATCCATGCTCCTTTCCCTCCTCCCCTTGCCCTTGACCTCCCCCCCTCCCATTCCCCTCCCATCTCCTCAGCCTCAGGCCCCCTCATCTAATCTATACCTTTTTCGCTTCCCCGACCTTGAAGGTCAGCCAGTCATAGCGGAATATATCCGTACCAAGACTTTTGCGGCTCGGCGAGAAAAAAACAAATAAAGATAAAAATAAAAATGAAATCCAAGTAAAAAGAAAAAAGCTACACCATGCTATTCTAAGATGCACGAGAAAATGATATTGCCCAAATGAAAAAGAAAAGGATACAGCAAACGGTTTGTGTACAACCCCCCATCATCTAAAAAGGTTCTGGAATACGGGGTTCGTCCCATCATCCATCCCTTCCATCCATCCATCCATCCATCATCGATCTGCATAGCCCAGATGGAAAGTTTCGGTTTCCCAACTTGGTTTATACACCACAAGAAAAAACATGATCCCCAACACGTGCGGAATCATCACACAGTGCAGTGCAGTGCAGTGCAGTGCAGTCCGCCCCAAGTTCTGTGTTGTGTTCCCATAGATGTTCAGGGTTCCCCCTTTGAATGTCTTCCAGGGCTGTGTGAACGACAAAAAAAGCTGCGACTATGATTATTTTCTGCTTGGATCATTACACATTACACCAAAGTTCGGGAACCGGGTGCTTAGTATTCTAAGCCAGTCTGGTTGAACTACCCTGACAAATGTTAGATACGATCCGTTAGTTAAGCAAGCGGTTTGGGGGGGGGGGGAAGCTTACAAATTCGCGAAACTGAAGCTTACAGTTCTTCCATTGGTATATCATGTCTGCTTGTCGTCATGGCCCGTGATCTGACCTGGCCGGACCCGGGCCCGGCAAGTCTAAACTAGTCTCTCTGACAAATTTCGCCAGAAGGAATGAGTTATAGACGATAGTGTTAATGGCTCATGAGTAATGAACCGACCCTGCGGACTACGGAGTAAGTTTAGACAGAAGTCGATAGCAGGCGATGGGAATGGAGGGTGAACTAGGGTTTCGGGTCCCCTCCCTCCTACGCCAGGCAACAAGGCGTCTGTCTCTGACTCTCTGCCTACCAGAGAGGCGGGACCAACGGGTACCTAGTACCCTAAAGCATAACTACGGTACAATATAGTACAATATAGTAGTCAACTCACTAAGTTGACTATTGATTTACTAGAGATCAACTGATGATTAAAACGATAGAGGAGGTGTACATTGCTGTGACCCGAAAATTCTAGTCTGACAAATCTGTAGAAAAAAACAACATCACTCTATAACAAGAATCATAGAACACATAGAACAGAGGAGAGAAGGAGATCGTCAATTTAAACAAACAGAACAAAAATCTAAACCCCCACAAATCCACCACCGTAAACCAAGGCGTTCTTCGCGGCTGCACGACCGAGTAAAGGCCCGCTTGCTCGATTCGGCAGCCGCCCCAATCTAAGCCGTATATTTAGTACAGTTGCTCAGAAACGAAAATTCAGCCCAGAAAAATGACAAAAGAAGAAGCCAGAAAATTAAGCAAAAAAAAAGACAAAGCTGACACTAGAAAATGTATCGTGGTATATGCACCCGCTCATGCAAGATCCATTAGAAATGGAAAAAGGAAAAGGAAAAAAAAATATCGCAAAATGCAAACGGCCCGTGACTCCTGGTCATGTCTGTTTCATGTTTCATGCAACTCATGATGAGAAACGCTCAAAACGACGTCAGAAAATTAGAAAGTGATAATTCGGCCTCGAGACCATATAGCATAGCCTCTCTTGAGTTCTGCGCGCAAACGAGATGATTAGCCCTCTGACCACCGAGCTTGTTCCTGGTCGGCCTTACCTTCAACATCAAAACGTAGTCGTAGATCATTTCACCGGCGTGCAATTGGAGCAGGCGACGTGCTGGCACATCACACAACGGGGCTGGTTCTGATACAGTTTTGGCCCATCGCCACACTGGCAGCAGAAGTACAGGTTCCCCCGCGTCTGCGCCCGATCCTCTGGAAGTCGCTGGCCGGCAAGGTCCTGCAGACCGGGTCGCCGCACGTCACCGAAGACTGATAGTGGCTGGGAGATCGGGTTTTGGCAGTCCATCATCGACGGCACGTGTCTGGGGACGTCTAGCGAGTGTGCGCAGACTGAGTGTGCTGGAGTAGAAGGGTACGGCGACATCTCGTGGCAGCTGTGCAGCGACATATCGGCGTCGCGGTTGTCGACAGGGCAGCTGGGGCAGCGTGGCTCGCCGCACTGCAGGCACTCTGTGTGAAGATCGATCTGGTGAAGGCCGTGAAGGCAGGTGCAGCAGGTCCAAAAGCCAGGCATGATTGAATGAGGAGTTGATAGGTGACTAAGGTGTTGATAGTAGGTATGATGGTGGTAGGTAGTTGTGGTTGAAGTCAAGCTTGTATAGAAGCAGAGAGGCGAAGACAGCGGATGAGTTGCAAGTGTCAATGATTCAGTAGGATGTATTGTGTGTAGGAAATAGAGATGAAGTCCATCCTGAGGACTGCGCCGCTGTATTTAAGCAATCTTAGGATGTTACAACAAGTGAGAAAGTGAAAGAGAGACGACGCTAACGATGATTCAGACAAGGCGTCCTGAACTGCCATTGTGGCTGATTCCACAAAACAATAAAAAAATAATAAAAAAAAAACAAAAGGCGCCCTTCAGAACTAGGCTTGTCTTCATCTCAGTCATAAGCAGGTGCTATACCTGATCAGAGCCCGGGGCCATTTCAGAGTCGATCATCGTCAAGGTGGCTTGGCAACTCTCGATTGCTTTTTGGGGAATGGGGGAAGGAAGGGGTTGGGTGGGTGTAGTGCAGTGCAGTGCAGTATCAAGTGGATTGGAGGGAAAAGCCGGGACCGTTTGGCGGTTCGAACTATCAGCTGTCGAGTGCTGTCAGTTTGAATCATTCTGGAATAGCTTGCATGGGAACATCGTAAGATATGCGCGCCAGTTGAGTCAAATCGACTTTCGCAAGGGTCCACCGGGTATCATCGCAGTAGCGGAATCCGGGCGAGCGAGGCTTGGAAAATGGAGGCTCGTTTTCGGTTGCCCGTCCACTCCGCCCGTCCTCCAGGCTTTCTCTCTCCGTACTAACTTACTGGTAGTAACTACTGGTACCTAGTAACCATCCGTTCCTACTAACTTGCTAACTGCTTTCTCGTTTTCCCCCTGAGGAAACCCACTCAATACTCAAGGCTCAATTTACTTACACTCCCCTTTCATTATCTTCAATTTTATTTTTATTTCTATTTTCTTTCCAATTTAATTATATCATTTATCCATTTGATTTCAAATTTGCTTATTCTTCTCTTTTCCTCTAACGACCTCCTGGTTACTCATCCATTCTTGGCTAGCAATTCATTTTGATAATCGCGCGCTGTGCTGTGCTGCCTGGCTGAGGCCTGGGAATGAGCTCCACTTGGTGGTCACCAGTGCCCGTGGATTCAGGCAACCTTGCCCAGAGATCGAGTTCTAGATGCGATGCGAAGCTCTGACTCTTACCGTCTATCTCCTTGGGTTTTAGGAGGATTCTCCTGCTTGCTCGTGACGATTTTGTCGGTCAACGAGCGGCGGGCTGTCTACGAATAAGCAGGCACCCGTACTAGTTCTGCCTAAGCCATCAACGCCCGTCGTGTGGCACATGCCCTTTTGCAAATGACGTTTGGGAACCATCGCGATGACTGATCGCTCACTCGCGCTCATTGCTAACTTTGATTTTCTCCACGCTGCATTATTGCTAATGTTTCGATCGGTTTCCCATCGGACTTTTGTCCTTTGGCCCTGCCCTTGACTCTCAGTCATTACTACTACTAGTATTGTTCGGAGTCCCCGACTTTGATCATGACGCTTGGCCTCTATAGCCCCTCGTGTCTGGTGTGCCTTGAAACCGACCAGCCCCAATTCTCTTCTTCACTGCTCAAAAGCCCAGTTGTAATGATCGCTTCTCATTCGACCTCTGCCCACTGGATGTTCCCATTGCCCCGGCTGGTTCTGGAAGCCTTACTCCAGACTTCAGCTCTACTTGTCACTATTACTCATAGTCAGATCACCGGTATGCCGTGGAATCGATTCCGTGTGACCCCTGGCAAACCGTTTTCCTTTGCGCGTCATAGCTGGCAACTTCCACAGGGCTTGCCAAAGCAGGTTCTCAGCGTCCCCAGATATTCCATTACGACTACCTTCACTCACTCCCCCACTTCCAGCTCTCGAAGGATGTGATTATGGCTGTCAGGTACACAGGCTGCCACATGGATGAAACGTCCCCACAGTCTAAGACAATCCACGAGGAGAGGGATTTAGTTTGGCAGGCAAAAAAATTGAAGCCTTTGACCAGTGCGCGGATAGCGTGTGGCCGAGAGGACGGATCTTAGTACCGATCTAGGACAATCACTAGTTGAGCCGCACTAGACACGTGTGTCTCACGCTCGACAAACAAATGAGCGATTCCGGGGTTGCCGGCTTGAGCCTCGAGGTCATAACTCACATCCCGGTATTATGATATCGTCATGCATTGAGCTGGGTATTGGGGCCAAAGTTCATTGTTAGTCACTGAGGAGGACATTCTATAGTATGAGACCGGTATAGCGCAGCAGATTTTCTTGAGAGAAAAATGAATGTAAGTAAGAGGTAGCTACGTAGTCGGTTGGAAAGGTGATTTGGAATGGGGCATCTATCGAAGTACTCCGTACTCGAGCGATAAGCCTTGTCATGTGACATGACATCATGAGCTGTGTTTGCCTGGTTTGCAAACCACGTGCTGGGTCGGAATCCGATCCCCAATCCCCAATCCATGATCATCTCCCCTCCTCCCCGTGCCATCCATCCTCGTTCATCAGGCACCGCCAGGGCAATTGCCTTCTATCTCTTCTATTCGGGTCTCCACTGTACATACCCATTGCTTGTCTAGACGCAAGAATATGGATACATTTGCAGGCTAGAGCGACCCCTGCCGACCCTGACAATTCTCCGATGCGGAGGTGCCTGCAACCCGTCTCGCGGTTAACTTCCAATGGCGCGGCCTGACAGGCGAATCAATCTAGCGGTCGCCAGGGCCATCCCTCCATTCTTACTATGTGTCTTTATATATGCATCCTATGCGGTCACCAAGCCCTTATGCAGTGAGTTACTTCAGACGAGAATCCGTTGGCTGATCTGGTTGACTAAGCGTTCCTATAGTCGACTATCTGATTCATCCCCTTTCCAAGTATGATCGCGACAGTCGCGCTGGCGCGGGAATCGCCATCCTCGTGATCTACTACGTCCTTCTCCTGCTCGTTCTGACAACATACTTCCGACTCTTGCATACCGTAACCTGGAATGCCGGGCTCCTGCCGCGAAAAGCTCCCCCGCCAGCAGAGACTGAGCCTGCACCACCCCAGTCATCAGGTCGCCATCATCGAAAGAAGAAGAGACATCGACGGCATAGAAGTGTGGAAAAGGCCAACGCGATAGACAGAGATGTGGAGAGCGGGGCCGACTCGACCGCGGACGGGGACATGATTCCCTGGGATACACATGGGATGGAGACCTTTTACACCAAAGACGTTTTTGTTTGCCAGCCGGATGGCCGACCTTTGTACTGCTCCACATGTTGTCATTTCAAGCCTGATCGGACTCACCATTGTCGGGAGGTTGACCGATGTGTTCGCAAGATGGACCACTTCTGCCCTTGGTGAGGAAATCTTCCAGATATGCCTTGTCTATGTGGCAGTGCTAACTCAGCCTACAGGGTCGGAGGAGTGGTCTCTGAGACATCCTTCAAATTCTTCATTCAATTCGTGTTCTACACTGCGCTCTATTGCATCTTTTGCTTAGTTGTTTGTGCAGTGTTTACTGCTGAGATCAAACGCCAGGTATGGTTGCGATGCAGCTGTAATTGGATTCTCCACTAACCTTTTTTTTCTGAACAGACTGGAGGGGCGAATCCTCATCTGGCTGTTGGAATTGGATTGTGAGTCTTTGTCTTCCGTCCCTCTTCACACCTCTTAACTGTACTAACATTACCATTTAGGAGCGGTTTCTTTGGACTTTTTACTTTTGGAATGACCCTCAGCTCTATGCAACTCGCCATGTTGAACTTGACGACGATCGAAAATATCAATCGTCGGTCAGCCGTGTGGACCTTAGCCATTCGCGTGCCGAACCATCTGCTCGGTCGGCTCAATCCCGACTCTCGCTGGGCCCCGACCTTCCGCACCATCACGTACCCCTTACCCCCGATGCCCCTCACCCCCGAGGCCCAGAAGAACTATCAGCCGCCCGGGGAACAACACATCTTCGCAATTCTCCAAACCCTACCCGGAGAGAACCCATTCGACCTCGGGAGTCCCTTCAAGAACCTCCAGCAGGTGCTTGGCTTCAACATCATCGACTGGTTTGTGCCGCTCAAGCAGAGTCCGTGTGCCGAGGACTCCGACAGCTTTTTCGAATTTGGACCCGTGGTGTCACGGCTGAAGCGAGAGGCCGGGCTTGAGAAGCCAGCTTTGGATGAGAGTCGTCCTTAACGGACCTGAGCTCGAAGTACGCAAGCGCGAGAGACTGGCTTGGTCCTATAATACTTATGCCATTGCTTTGGTTTACGTTAATCTGAAGTTCAGCCTGCGGCTTGGACTTTTTTTCTTATGCCTTCATTTCTATTTTCCTCTTCTCTTTTCTTTCAGGTTAGACCTTGTCATGTTCAACTTGGTGGTCAGGCGCACCGGTCTTTTTGTTCTGTGTATAGAGCGCTCAAGGTCCCACTTCTACTCAGGCTAATCGAATTAATACTAGTATGGCATGAGGAGTATATTTGTGGTCGTGTTGTATGATGAAGCATTCCCAATTTCCGTCGTAGAATTAGGTCCACGCTTGCCGAGATATATATCATCGACATTCTCGTTGAGATATCCGCCTCCAGTTCATCCATTCCAGAGCCCCCCCCAAAGACATCCAATCGTTCCCATCTCCCATGACGACGCAGACGGAAAGTGTACAGTTTCCTCTGCTTGAGCTGGGGCTTGTCAATCCACGCCGATGAAACTGCAGAGAAGCGGTGCAGTAGCTAAAAGCACAGGATGCCTAGATCAAGAAACAAAGATCAGCCGAAAGAGAGAGGAGACCGGACCAAGGAGCCCAAATCTTTATTCTGGATGACAGAATCACCAATCAAGTTGTGATACTAGACCTCCCGACGAGAATCAAGGTAGGGAAAAAGTTCAGAAGAACAGATGCATGCATGGCATGGAATTGTTACAGAGTGCGAGTGCTAGTATCCCCCCCCCCCCCCCTTCCGGAATTTTTCGCCGATTTTAGGGACACCGCCAGAGATATTGTCAATCTAGGTCCGACCAACTTTATGATGTACTGCGTGGTGAGACTCGAATACTGCCAGGCTGTACCCGATCCTGACCTTTTTGGGGTCTGAAGGCTGGGCAATGCGGATGGCGTGTGTGTGCGGGCGGCTGGGTAGGCTCTGTACTGCGCGGCGTGCTTAATGGTGCCTGGTCGAGGAGGGGGGGGGTTTCTTTGAGTACCTTTTAGAAACGGAGGGGTCTTTATAGAAGTGAGGAGAAGGTGGTAGTTGTTGTTGACTATGTTTTGGTTTCAGTAAGCAGATAGGTAGGAAGGAAGGAGGGTTTCTGGGATGAGGAAGGTGGCCGGCGCTCAGCTGACTGGGCTGGGCTCGGGTTGAGGATCATATTCGCATGTACATACTAAATAAATGGGCTGGCTGCCTTGGAGCATTACTTGCATGGCATGTGATGTGGTGCAGCTATCTTAGATCTAGGAAGTTTGCATGGTTTTTTTTTTGTTTTTTTGTTTTTTTCTCGGCAGCATCTGATTGTATTTCGACGGCTACGACTGTTGGGTTCTACGTGTGAAGGCGGTAGTGCGAGATGCTCGATCGTTTGATGGAGGCGATCGACACAGTTATCGTGTGGTAGCCTGTCTAAGGGTGGTTCAACAAGGACGTTTAAAATTCGATCGCTGAGATTCATGGAAGATATGTATACAGTGAGACTTAAGGGATAAGACCAAACCGAATAATTGCTGAAGACAGAGATATCCCCAGAAAGTTGCCATGAGACATGAACGCCACCTGTGCAGCAGAAGTAGAGCTTGCAGACTGTGTACGCGTTGTACCTGCCACGGAGATGTGTTCAAAGGATGTGGGAGGATCAGTCATGTGCGGATGGATGATTGCATTGTCGAGCCATGGAGCAGAGCCGTGGATGGACCCCGTACCACGCACGATTATGCCTGTTGACAGGAATGACAAGCTGCGTGGTCGCAAACCGTGCATCGGCCGGAGCTCAATGCAGGGTTGTTCTCCGAGCCGCAGGCACAGCAGATCCACCAGTCGGCCATCGATGGTCTAGCAGCGTTGGGAGAGGTATGGATGCGGATAGTGGAGCTCATGGCTGTGACCTGTGGTAGATCCTGAAGCCGGCAGGCCGTTATCAAGGGATTGTGGTGACCACTAACTAGTCACTTTGGGGAGCCCCTTTCGGGTAGGTAGGTTGTTAGTAACGATGATTTGGAAGGGTATTTGAGCTAGGTTGATTCCAATTGACCAGGATGATGTTGCACCCTTCTTTGATGCTCGGTGTCAAAGATGGAAGGTGTGCTGAATCCCTATCATGAAGCTTTAATATTTCATTCATTGTGTCAAAAAATGCGAGATTCTCCTGCACAACTGCATCATAGGTCGTCGTTGAGATGCCCATGTTCCAAATGTCATGTACCCGGGGGAATTTGCGCTGCGACACGACAGAGCCCTGGCCACCATTGCAGCTGAAGATAGTGAGTTTACCAACCACTCAGAGGATCGTGATGCTGGTCTAGCTTGAGCTTCAACACCCGGGCGATTAAGCCACGACTGGAGGCCAAGAATGGGCATTTGCAAGCAAGCCTCTTTCAAGGCCGAAGGTGACACCTGAAAGCAGACGCCTGATATGATCTATTTACCTGTGAGTCAAAAGAAGATCATCACGGCAGTAGATGTATGGTTATGCCACTGAGCGTGAGGTAGGTTTAAGCCTGCAGAAATCAGGCCGGTAGGGCGGGCAACGGATCAGCCTTGTAGTGACGGATGAGTCTCCTCTGTTCTGGCTGTGATTGGCCTCGGAACGGTCAGCTGTACATAAATCTCAAGCATGGTGCCTGGCAGCTCAGCTTTCTTAGCAGGATCACTCGAGGAAGACATGCGCATGCTGTATCCCAGAGAAAATATCTTCAGAGACATGCAGGAAATAAGGGATGTACGGGGAGGAGGAGAGGAATTGATTAAAATTCCGTGATGATAGATTATCATAATTTAAGATTCCCGTGCCACGAAGATCTCACCGGGATGGCTTGCTAGGAGTTGTTTCAGTACAGTCTTCCCTCCCGTGTCACATTCGTTTCGAGATGCTTTCTAGCGATGTGGCGGGGACAAGGACTTGTAAGGATAGACTCCAGTCATCTCGGTTAGTGGCGTTGAAAACGGACGCTGAGGCACGCAACGTAAATCGCGCACCCGGGCCGGCTAGTGAAGCAATTCATGAAGCGTCGGAGGTGGATGATAGTAGTAGCAAGGGCCATCTATTGACCAGAGCGGAAGGTCGCCGTTGTTTCAGAGGGCGAAATATGCCCAAGGCATGTGAATGCTCGCCT